GTCGAACAGTATTCAATATGTTTAAACATTCGCCAATTAATGATGTGATTGACCAATCAGGATCGAGTAAAGACCTGCCTATTAAAACTGAATTTTCTGTCAAGTGAGGATAGAATACGCACATTATGTCAGCGCGCTTTTGTTGCAGAACTACAATGTAAAATTAAATCTAACTATAATAGTTGCATTCATTATTTACTCCTAACCCCCAAAACTTTCAAACGGACACTATTACAGATGACTTGTGTCAGTATAAAGCGCATTTGTAAATGAGTGATTGTAGCAGGTCTGCAGTGCTCATACAGTATCTGCAGCGCTATAGTACTGGATGTATGTGATGATGGCGTGTTATGCATATATAACACGCTACACAAATCACACGACTGTATGTGAAGCGCATATTCCACCTCACAGTTTCTTAAAAAGACCAAATACATCAGTTGCTCAGAGAAGAAATGGCAAGCGTGCGCAGAAACAGCCTGGTAAAGGTGTATATTACGTGAGTGAGGCGAACAAATACCTTTTCACTGAGTCGCACGATCTGATTCATTTTGTCTTCATCTTGTAGGAGCTCCCGTAGTTCGCAGCTATTGAGGACCCTGTACCCATCTGGGTAAGAGTTCGCGTCGCTTTTCTGGGACATTCTTGTCCCCGTGAGGCGCACTAAACAACTCCGTTTGTCAGCCATTTAACTTCCATTTTGCTGTCGCTGCGCGCCGGCTGGAGGTGAGCAGGGGAGCGGCGCTGGGGGAGCTCTGCTCGGCGTGAAGGCGCACCGCGGACTGTTTGTGAAGACAATGCACGGAGAGACTCTGCTCTGCTGTACGGTTACGGATTCCTCCGGTTCCGCATTCCACCGCCAGGAGGCGCCACGCCGCAGCATTTACAACGTGCCACACATAACATACTGTATACCACGTGCTTTCAATCTTGTAGATGCCACGGGCCCCCAAATGTGATCATCCATGCAAGAGAACGAGAGAGAGAGAGAGAGAGAGAGAAAGAGAGAGAGAATAGTGAAAATAGTTATCCTGGTAATGGAGATGGTGTTAATCTAGCTGTAGAAAACATAAATTACATATTTGTTTATTTGGCAATGATATCTAACATTAAAATGACTAAGAAAACGTTAAAACAAATACTAGAGAATGAAAAATGGTATGACTTTGGTTGTAAAACTATAAGAAAAAACTTAAGACAACTAGCAAATCAAAAACACAGACAACCAGAGAATACAGATTTAAGTCTTCGGTACTGTGAGGAGCTTAAAAAATATAAAAACACAATCAGAAAAAAAGAAAGAATACACCCCAAAACAGCTCAAAACAAATCAAAGAATCTGTTGATTCAAACAATTTCTGGCCCAACTGGAACACCCTAAATAAAAAGAAACATGAAGAAACATCGCTTATATGTGATATAAATTAACCCATACAGAGCAAATATTTGGCAAATACCAAAATCTGTTAGACTGTCAATCACAGAAAAAGAGCTACTAGATAAAATACAAGTCCTACCAACAAAAAAGGCAAGTGGTCCAGACGGTATCCTTAATGAAATGATTAAAAACACAAATCACAAATTCCAATTGGAATGTCTGTTGGAAACATGTGCACAATTGTGCTTACAGGTGAGTGGGCTTGAAAACCACCTGTAGAAAAACTGTAGAAACACACTTCTCTCTTATGCACTTGACCAAGGGTGTAGAATTGGCATAGTCAAAGGGGACGTTTCCCCACCAATATTCACCAATGACTGAAATATCCCTACCAATAATTGAATTGACTTCAAAATATAATAAAGCTTCGTCAACTTTTAGTAACCTACTTGTGCATAATTGGTTAAAGTTAAGTTTGCTATGAGTTCACTATTATACTATTAAACAAGGCAGAGCAATTAAACGAAATTCAGTTTCCATTTTGACGTTCATAATTATGAAAAACAATAATCAGGATAAAACAGTTAAATCGAAATTTCTAAATTTCTCCACATTTAAAGCCAGATTGCAGTAAAATCATGTAAATTGACATTTGCAGCATGGACTGTGATTCATTCATTGTTATTTGTAATATTAAGTGTTTATTTTATATTCTTAGGAACTTTATTCATGTTTTTTTTAAAGCACAGAAACAATTTGCGCAATGTAGGAGCTCTAGAGTTGTGTGTCCCCACCAATGCCAAGAGCGAATCTACACCCTTGCACCTGACACTTCACTTAAACTCCATTTTAGTCAATAAGGAAAATGATGTTTAGCCTACTATTGATGTACCACAATCATGTTGCACTCCTTGCTTCAACCTTAACTCTTGCACAATATTCACCTTTAATACCTCTCTTGCACAATATCCTGCACAACATTGATCAGTATCTTGTAAAAGTACTTGTAGCCTGTCTTATTTAGTATCTTATAGTAGCCTATGTGCATACACTGTGAAGAATTCCTGGTTGCCTTCATTTTTAACCTGAATCAAATTAACCTTTGAGTCCATTGAACTTATATTATGTTAAACTGACTTAAAACTGACTTATAAAATTAAGTTAGAACATGATTAACTTAGTTTAATAAGTTACAATCAACTAAAAACATATGTTGTCATGAAAAATTGATCCTATCATTTTTTACAGCGTAAGTTTTTGAAAATATCTCTTATGTCCAGTGTTGTTTGTATATTTATGATTAATTTATGTAGCACTGTTGTTCTGCGAAACATGACATTTTTTTCTGTATGTCCACACATGTAGCAGAATGACAATAAAGCTTGACTTGACTTAAAAGATTTAACGTATACTAAAATTATGAATGATTCAAAAAGATACATTTTTAAACCCGTTTCTTCCTTAAAATACATCTATATGTTTGTTTTGTTCAAACATTGACTTTATACTATATTTATAAATGTGTTAAAATATGTTATATGTTTACTTACTTTATGCAATTATTATATTTAAATCGGTGACACAGTGGCTCAGTGGTTAGCACTGTTGCCTCACAGCAAAAAGGTCACTGGTTTGAGTCCTGGCTGGGTCAGTTGGCATTTCTGTGTGGAGTTTGCATGTTCTCCTCGCGTTCGCATGGGTTTCCTCAGGGTGCTCCGGGTTCCCCCACAGTTCAAAGACAAGCGGTACAGGTGAATTGGATAAACTAAATTGGCTGTAGTGTATGAGTGTGAATGTGAGAGTGTTGCAGCTGTAAAGGCATCCGCTGTGTAGAGCATATGCTGGATAGTTGGTGGTTCATTCCACTGTGGTGACCTCTGATGAATCAAGGGACTAGGGAAAATGAATGAATGAATATTTCAATTTGTGTTTTACTGTGCATTGGTATTTATTTATTTCAGATTTTAAGTACAGCTTATTTATTTGTTTGTTTCTATGATGTCTATTTATTAATCTTATTGAAACATTTGATTGTTTATTTGAATCTTTTTCATTAAGTACTTTCTTTATTAATTAATTAATTTATTGCTGCATAAGTTACAATACTTAGCTCCTGTCCTAATTATAATTAAATATCTTAATTAAAAGGACAAATAAATATTGTTTCTTGTGTATAAACCTGCAGTGTTCATTATTATCATCATCATCACCATAATATTTATTTATTTATGCATTTATTCAAGAAAAAAGGGAGAATATGACATAAATCAGATATAATCAGATATAATTCAGATTAGAAAATGTATTCTGCATATTAATTTATTCAGTTTCTTTAGCTTTGCATTGTTAAAATGGGCATTGTCTGTTGGTTTGTTTCAATGTGTTTTGTGATTAATAGTTAAAATGTTAATAAAAAGATGCACAGAAAATAAATAAATAATTACATTTTCTAATCTGAACCAATAAATCTGCCAAAAACAATATGATTTAATTATTAATTTCATTTAACAATTATTTAATTCATTATTATATCTTCTTGTCCTGTGTGTTGTTATAGTTGACTATAAATAAACTATTACAGTCTTTTTTCATTTCGTTTTGTTTATTCATTTTCTTTTCGTCTTAGTACTTTTATTAAGCAGGGGTCGCCACAGCGTAATGAACCGACAACTTAGAATTTAAGCTCCATTGCATCTACATGAAAAATTAATTTTCATTAGATAAGTAGACTGCAGATAGGGATTAGGGTTAGTGTAAGTTGACATGCTTGACATGTCTGTTGAAGGAACAGTATCAACAGATATTAAGCAGACAGTCTACTAATACTCAAATGAGAAGTAATTGGCATGTACTTGCAATTCAACTTTTAGTCAACAAAATGTGCAAAAGGGACCATCAAAATAAAGTGTTAGCTACCAATATTATTAAAATGAGTAATAAACATATAAATCCATATAAATGTTTTTTTTTCTCTAACAATGAAAAACAAACAAATAAAAAGAGAGAAACAACTAAAAACAGGAGCTATAAAAATACATAAAGCAAAAATGGCTCATTAAAAAAATATTTGCAAACAAATAACGTTTTAGAGCCTTTTTTGATGTAATACAATTGGATGGACAGTCTGGAATCGGACATTTTTGACTTATGAATGAATTTTTGCAAGCAGCAAAACCAAGTTCACAGCATAAAACTGTTTTCTTTTAAGTTGTTCATACTCAATAAAGCCCAACACGGTGCTTTCAGTCTTATTAATGCCACAGACTCCCAAATGTGATCATCCAGTATGCAAGAGAGACCTGCTTTAAATGTAAAAGACATGTTTAAAAGGTTTAATAGATACTATAATTAAGAATGTATTAAAAATATTATTTTCAAAACAGTTTGTTCCTTATTTTTACATTTTTGCATTTTTCACCAACATGGTACTTTTATTGCATGTTTATTTACACGTTTATTACATTATTTTATGTATTTTAATCTGTTTTACTGTATGTTTGTGTTTATTTCTTGTAAATAGATTTTGTGTAATACAGTTTATTTAATAAAATCATTTCATTTGTATCTAGTCATGTAGCGATCCTATTGGAGGGTATCTCTGACGTGTTTACTTTGCGACAGTACAGAAAACATGGCGTCGCTTGCGGGAGATCGTTGGAGGGAAGCTCTGAAGAACCACGATATATTCAATAATTTACAAGAAAGGCTTCATTTAGAGCCTCAGGGGACAAGTAAAAGAATAGCTAAGAACCTGACGTTTTGTTTGAACGGTGATCTGTTCATTTGGGACAGCGTTGAGAGCGTGTTTTACACCACAAACCTGCGACAGCTGAACTCTGACGGCGAACCAGACACCTCCAGATATCAGGTCAGCGACTTTAAATGGCTTCTGCTTTAGTGTAGTTACATCGCCGGTTGTGTGTAAACGTTTACCGATCTCTCCGCAGACCCTGCTGTGCATCAACCCGCCGCTGTTCGAGGTGTGTCAGGTGCTCGTCAGCCCCTCGCAGTATCATGTGGCCCTCATCGGTCAGCGAGGAGCCACTGTCCTGGAGCTGCCACAGCGCTGGGGGAAGAAGTCCGAGTTTGAGGGCGGACGGATCCAGATCAACTGCAAGTGAGTGATTTTGACTATTTTATTGAGGTAAAGTTGGTTATATTCGCACATTTTATAAAAGTATTCTTTGCAAATTCCAAATTGGGAAATCATATTAGCAGACAGCCAACGATTATCAACATACAACATTGTTCAGTCAATAAAAAAGTGCTAATGTTGTTTAAAATCATACTTGCATGTGATTTCAGATCGAAAAATTAAAAGAAAACAATATAGGAATTGTGTTTCCCAGAGATGGGTTGCGGCTGGAAGGGCATCCGGTGCGTAAAAAAACGTGCTGGATAAGTTGGTGGTTCATTCCGCTGTGGCGACCCCGGATTAATAAAGGGACTAAGCCGACAAGAAAATAAATAAATAAATAAATAGATAATTGAATGAATGAATATAGGAATTGTGTTGTCACTTAACAAATGTGTGAATATAAAATAAGCTGTTTGCGATGCTTTTATCCACTTCTGGATTTTGAGTCATAATTTGGCCACAGCTTTCTCTGTTTCTGCAAATGGAATAATTTTTGGTGACAAATCTTATTTATTTTGACACATATTTTGGTAAAATGCTTTGGAAATTTTCACAAATTCAAGAGTACAATGGGCAAATTGACCACCGTTTTGTTATAATTGAGCTAAAGTTGGTTTTATATTCGCACATTCATTCATTTTAACGATTCCTAAATTATTTAACACACTAATTTGTACATTTAGTCAGAAATCGCATATGAAGTTGAACTTGTTGAACTTTCTCTGAGTTTCAACAAATGGGATGATTTTTGGTGACGCATAGTATTTTGACATATTTTGTTAAAATGCTTTTAATTTTTTCACAAATTCAACAAAACAATCCGGGAAAATTTATTACTCTTTTGTTATGATTGAGGTAAAGTTTTATGTTCGCACATTCATTCATTTTAACGGTTCCTATATTGTTTACCACACTAATTTGAACATTCGGTCTGAAATCGCATATGCAGTATGACTTCAAATACAACAACATTAGTACTATTTAATTGACTGTGAACAGTGTTGTTCTCTGATAGTCATTAGCTGCTAATATGATTTCCCTGTTTAGAATGTGCAAATAATACTTTTCTGAAATAATATTAAGGAGAAAGTCCTGTGAATATAAAACCAACTTTTTACCTCAATATGTTTACATCCACTGTGGGGTGATTTTTGAGCCTTTTTTTTGGCCACAGCTTGTTTCAGCAAATTGGATGATTTTTAGTCACAAATCTTATTTTGACATATTTTGGACAAATGCTTTGGAAATTTTCACAAACTAAACCATACATTGAGGCAATTGACTACCCTTTCATTATAATTGAGGTAAATTTGGTTTTACATTAGCACATTTGTTCTTTTTTAATGGTTCCTGTATTGTTTACCACACTAATTTGAACATTCAGTCTGAAATCACATATGAAGTATGACCCAAAAAACAACAACAGCATTAGCACTATTCAATTGATTGTGAACAGTGTTGTCCTCTGATAGTTTATAGCTATGTATTGTTTTCATCCAAAGATGCTAATTAAAATTATGCTCAAAACTGAAATATTGCATAAAAGATTAAAGCAGTGTTTCCATCCAAGTAGTCAAAAAGAACAAAATTGTAACTTCCTGATAAACTGTCGCCAACTATCAAAAGTAAAAATGGGATTTGCTACAGTAGGAGAAGCTGCGTCAACCTTTTCTCCGTTTAATAAATGACTTGTGCCTTAGAAGACAGTATGCTGACATGCAATGAATGCGTGATGACGTTTAAAGACAAAAGACGCAGAGCACAAATGCTCTTGACATTTCTGGAGGTAACTAATAATGTAATGTTTAAGTAGCGGTAAACAATATAAGGATTGTGTTGTCACTAAATGAATGTGCGAATATAAAACAAGCTGTTGCTGAAGTTTTCATCCTCTCTTGGGTGATTTTTGAGTCTTATTTTGGCCACAACATTTTCTGTGTTTCAGCAAATGGAATGATTTTTGGTGACATCTTATTTTGACAAATATTTTGGGAAAATTCTTTGACATTTTTCACAAATTCAACCACATGTTCTGGGCAAATTGACTACCCTTTCATTGTGATTGAGGTAAAGTTGGTTTTATATTAGCGCATTTGTTCATTTTTAACGGTCCGTACATTGTTTACTACGCTAATTTGAATATTCGGTTCGAAATCAAAACAGCATTAGCATTATATATTTGACCATGAACATTGTCGAACTTTAGATAGTCATTGGCTGCTAATTTGATTTCCCTATTTACAATTTGAAAATAATACTTTTCTGAAATGTTATTAAGGAGAAAGTTGCGCAAATATAAAACCTACCTTACCTCAAAATGTTTATATCCACATTTTTGAGTTATAATTTGAACATGCGAATATAATTCCCTCAAATTTACCTCAATATTTTTACATCCCCTCTGGGGTTATTTTGAGTCTCAATTTGTCCACAACTTTTTCTGTGTTTCATATTAATTCCTGGCTGTGTTTACATTTACATTATAGCTTTAAAATACAACACACTACATCTCTGTTGGTCTCTTTTGTCAAGTTTAATGATCATTTTTAGCCTATATTTTATTTTAGATTACTCTGTCTGGTAAATTAGATACCTTACTCCGTGCTAAGATAAACCTCTCCACCACTTAAGCTAAAAAAGATTTAACAGGTTTGTTAAAATAGTTTTTTGAAAAATGAATTTTTGAATTTAGAATGATTTTTTTGCCCCTATGTGTTTTTTAGAGTACATCATGCTGTGTGTGTTTGTGTGCGAGAGAAAGCACTGAGACTGTCAGAAATGGGCTCATTAATATTCTTGACCATTCCAAATATGGTCAATAGGGACCTTTTCATTCTATGGGTATTATATAAAGATAGTATATAAAGTAATATAAAACCATTTCTGGAGGATTTTTGACCTTATCTAAGCCACATGCCTACTATGTAGATATCAGAAAACAATTTAAGTTATTAAAACAATGCAATATACGAGACCTTTATTGTAATCGTTTGTGTTAAATCTGTTAATTATTTCTTGTAAGTGTGATTGTCATGTTAGGCATCTATAAATAAAATTAAATAATGATAATCTAACCATTCATCAGAGTAAAATAACTCTTTAAGAGAGTTGCATTGCTCTTCCATCCTCCTTTTTTGTTTTAGATTCTCTGGTTTTAAACGTTTTCTTTTGACAGGACCATTCCGGTGGCTGAACGCTTCTTCACCAGTTCTGCGTCTGTGACTCTTCGTCAAGCTGTCTGGTATCCCAGTGAAACTGAGGAGCCTCATCTCGTTCTGCTGACCTCAGATAACACCATCAGGTATCTGAAATTAATCCCTGACAGAAGTCTGAGAGATCTGACTCTGAAGAGCTTCACTGTTCATTTTGTACTGGATTATACAAAGTATGTTTGTTTGTTTTTTACCACCAGATTTTATAATCTTAAGGAGCCCCAGTCCCCTGCTAGAGTTTTATCTGTGTCTCAGATGGATGATGACAGCAGCGTCCATACAAGAAGGTAAGCGTGTAGCTGCTATATTTTTCATTTTATCCAACGGTATTGCCAGACGCTAGGAGTATTCTGCTTGGATCAGGGTTATTAAACACAAAGGTAAATCTAGGGATGAACCGAAATGAAAATTCTTGGCATAGTATGGGTCAAAGTCATTGATTTTTCTTTTATTCCTTTTATTTAACTTTAGAATATTAAGTCAAGAAGATCATGTTCTTTAAAGATATTTAATAAGTTTTCTACATCAAATTTCAGTTTTTGATTAGAAATATGCCTTGCTAAACGCTTCGATCAAGTGATTTTTTTTTCAGACGTCATATTGGATGTACAAGATTAAAGGGTCACGAAACACCAAAACACATTTTTTGAGCTGTTGACAGTCGTATATGTGTCCCACACTGCTAAAAACACTATTAGGACACCTATATTTCACTAAAAAGTGTAAATTGGTTGTTTTTGCGTTATTTCAAGCAAATTCGTACTTCCTGTTTGAAACGAATTTTTGAAGCTGCGTCACGGTCATGACATAATAGCCTGTATTCCAGCGTGCAGACTGGGCGTCTGTGCCAGAGTGAGTCTTATTACGTCTTACAGTGTGATGCATTAATGCATGAGTAAGGCTTGGTTCAAACCAATCAGCGCGCTCTACTGTGCAACTTCATTAATATTCATTTGTGTCACCGTGTTTACACCACAAAGACGCCACGTTGTGTTGGCAAAACAAGCGTGAAGTGTTGCTTTTATAGTTTGCTGCCGTTAAGTTTCGTTTTCATTTTCTCTCTGTGAGAGCTTATCTGGATCACGTCTGGATTAACAGTGTACGCGACGCTCGTTTAACAGTGTAAACGCACGTTTACCTGAGAGCTGTTCTCATCTGCAAACGCTGAAATCTGGATTTGCTTGTAGTATTCTCTCCATAAAGACGCGGCTCTAGTTGCTGGTTATTGTCCTGTCTCTACAGATTTGGTAAGTGAGCGACCAGTGCTCTTTGTTTATTCAGTTTGTTCGTATCGAATTAAGTTAACTATTGCACTGAGTGCAGAAATGTTAGCACCGCATTTTGTGACCGGAATAACACATTCGGCTTTCTGATGCTACCTGCCGTGTGCATCTAAGTTTCCGGGAAATGCAGAGTTTTTTTTTTCTCTCATTCGCCGTGCGGTATCAAACATTGCATGAAAAATACACACTTGCAGCAGTTCCTCCAATCAAATATCTCGTTTGTCGCGAGGGGCATGAATGAATTCCCTGAATGAAAGAGCCAAACTGCAGTTAAAGTCCAACATTTAATAATTTGGCAAATAATTCGACTACAGATGTCCATGTAGGTTAAACACTTCTCCTGTCTGTGTGGGTGTGTATTTTGACTCTGAAACTCGCGCGTGCACAAATAGACACTCCCACACCATCCCACTTTAGTTCCTCCGACACTCCCCCCTAAACAGAGCTGGACACGCCCACTTTTCTGACTTTTTGCAAAGTAGAGGTGTGAAAACACCCTGCTGAAACGAGGGGGTTTCATGGCCCTTTAAGATTTGACTGCTGTTTGCGTCGCTTTCCAGTAACCCTAACCTTAACAAGAATCACAGCTTTTGCTCAATCTCAAGTTTATTTTAATTAATTGTGGAGCCCAACGAGAGTCTTTATCATGTATTAGAGTAAACATTATCTAAAATAAATTTTTTTTAAATAAATTATTTATTAAGAATTTTATTCAATTAGTTTTAGCCAGTAGGCTTGGGCGATATTTCGGTATTATGGTATACCGCGGGATCTAAAAATAGCAACGGTGTCAGTTTCAATACCGTTATACCGTCATAAAATATTAAATATCCTTTATTTAATGCCTACAAAAACGTATGTGTGGTTGTCATCACGGGACAGTGTGGAGGAGAGAGAGAGAGGAAGAGGGAGGGGGAGAGGGAGAGGTGACGTGACGTGTCGCGCTTCAAAGTGTCCTGCAGTTTGGCAGTTTCGACTGAACAGAAGGGAGACGTGGTTAATATGAACGAGAGGTCTGCATTAGAGCTGAAGATCTTTGCCTGAACCCGGCGAGACCCGAAAAAATTCAAATCCCAGCATTAAAATCCATCCCTGCAAAGGTGAAACAAATGATGATGAAGTAGTAAAAAAAGCGAATTTTGACGGCAGTCAAGCCAGTCACTAGCTCAGAAAGAGCGCGTTCCAGCCGCAGGTATTTCGGCGGTCGCTCATACACTGCGTATTACGGTAGAGCCCTAAACCGCAAGCTGACAGGTAAAAAGACGAGGCCTCTCGCTACAGTGAAACTGCTGTCATGGTAAATTAAATGCATGTTCCTGACTGGTCGAAGATGAACAAACAATCCAACCCAAAACTTGCAAAATCAGCCAGATCAGAACTCTGCATCTCGGCCTGTAGCAGCAGGAAAGGGTGTTCAGCTGCTGGACCCCGTGAGCGCAGGACTGCGCTAAAGCCTGTGGATTTAATAATGTTCCTCCACAAACACACGTAGCCTAATCTTGGTGCGTAAAGGGTTTTTCAATTATAAATAAATATTAATTAAACCATATAATCATAATGTAGACAGAGTATACAGGCTAATGGTGGCATTATTCTTTTAATATTCAGCTTCACCGCCGCCTTAATGCCAGATTGTGAAGAGAAGTTGAGAAACAAACCTTGCAGAGCCTTTATCTTAATTTCGTTATTGCCAAAATACCCGTCATCATTTAGAGTTTAATTTGATTTGTTAAAGATTTTTTTTCATTTGTGTGTTGGCCAATTTAAAGGCTAAGTGCATGTACCTAGACCTATAGAGTGCTGATATGTAACGATGTAACAGCTGTAGGACTTATTTTATTTCTTTGTTCCAACTTTCAAGTGGCATATAGCCTAGTCTACGTTTGTTACGAATAACTGATGTTAAAACATATAAATGACTCATTCTTGAAAAATTGCAATAGAGCTGTGTGCATGAGCACATTTGAATAATGTCGGGCTGTAAATGGGTTCGGGCTTTATAAAGCTGTCAATCAAAATGTACCTGTCGGACTCGGGACCTATCGGGTATAATTTTTATGGCCCGATTACAGCTCTGCATTCCCGCTGCAGTAGGAGCCGGCAAGATTTCTTATGGTGTGGGAGTAAATTTCTGAATAAATCGCGGGAGAGATGTGTGTGTGTGTGTGTGTGTGTGTGTGTGTGTGTGTGTGTGTGTGTGTGTGTGTGTGTGTGTGTGTGTGTGAGAGGGAGAGAGAGAGAGAGAGGTGCTGTGCGTCGCCTCTCTCTCTCTCTCTCTCTCTCTCTCTCTCTTTCTCTCTCTCTCTCTCTCTCTGACCGCGAGCCTAAGGTCGCATAGAAGGTATTCAGTTTCTGAATGGTTTAGGCTCAAGCCAACAGTTTGGTGACGCTGTCTGAGCCTTACGTCATAATTTTTTTTATTACGCCGGTAATACCGGAAACCGGGGTAAAATATGGAGGCGGTTTGACGGTATCAAAATTTGGATAACGCCCAAGCCTATTATCCAGTTACAAAGACACATTACTTGATTTTTTTACTTGATGTAGAAACACAAATACAACTAAATAAAATAAATGTACAATTCGAATTAACCAATAAAATTAAATACAAAATGTTTTAAAAATTACATTTACATTTAGTCATTTAGCACACGCTTTTGTCTGAAGTGACTTACAAATGAGGAGGCATTCAGCGATTCAACAAGAAGAAGCAATACACAAGTGCTAATTATACAAAGCAAATTTTAATGCTCAGAGAATATAGTGCTAAAGTAAGGAGAGGTGGCACGGTGGCTCAGGGGTTAGCACTGTTGCCTCACAGCAAGAAGGTCGCTTTCTGTTTAGAGTTTGCATGTTCTCCCCGTGTTGGTGTGAGTTTCCCCCACAGTCCAAAGACATGCTCTATAGGTGAATTGGAGGAACTTAGTTGGTCGTAGTGTATGAGTGTGTGTGATTGAGAGACTATATATATATATATATTTCCCAGTGATGGATTGCGACTGAAAGGGCATCTGCTGCTTAAAACGTATGCCAGAATAGTTGCTGGTTTATTCCGCTGTGGCCCCCCTAGATAAATGAGGGACTAAGCCGAAGGAAAATTAATAAATGTTTGTTTGTTTTTGAGAGAGAGAAAAATGTTTCTACAGGTGGTTTATCAAGCCCACTCACCTGTGTGAAGCACGCTTCTTAAATGCACAATGTTTTTTGTTTGTTTGTTGTTTTTATGGAATGATTGTAAAATGTGTCTGGTGTAAAACTGGTGCAAGTGTCAGTTGAAGTGTCAGAGAGATGAAAGAGTGTTTTCTACTGGTGGTTTGTCAAGCCTACTCACCTTTGTGAGGCACACTTAATACAGGGTTCCCACTCTTTTGTGGACACCCAATTCAAGGACTTTCAAGGAATCACTAAAATTACTAATACTTTTAAATCAGGCACCTTAATTCACACCTCCAGCATGTAAAGCACCATGAAAGCCATTCATTTTGCTTACACTTAATATCCACATTAAAATGTTATAATAATGGTGATGTTCTGAATGTTATTTTCACAAATGTAGACTGTTTTAAACATTAATGTTCAAATAACCTTAAATAATACAATTAGTTGAATTTAATACTGATAATATTCAAATGTGATTACTGAAATATTGATAATGCATTGTTTGTCATAGTTCTAGATTTTTACTGTGGGAACCCTGTAAATATTAATATAAATGAATAATAGTACATTAATGATACTAAAATAACACTGACTTCATATGATGTGACATCTTCTTCATGCAGTCGTTCTTATGCGGCCTCTTTGGGAGAGACGGCGGTGGCTTTTGACTTTGGTCCGTTGGCTGATTCTCCTCACCTGAGCAGTCTGCGAATGAAGGCAGAGCTGGTGGTTTATCCACTTTACATACTATACGGCAATGGAGAGACCTTTCTGAACTACATCTCTCTCTCACACAGGTAACACTCACTCCTATACAAAAAAACCAAACATGTTCATTCAGATAACAGATATGCAACATCATTTACAGTGTAGGTGAATATTATCAAAACCAAAATAATAAGGTAAAAAAAAATGGCTTATAAAAATTTAAGATCATTTAAAGCACTAAGTGGGTTTTTTTATCTTGTTGTTAACTTAAGCTAAATTAAACTTGTAGTTCACCTTAAATGAACTAACTTAAGTGCTAACTTGAGCTATTTATGTTTAAGTGCTAATATTAAGTAATTTTAATAATTATAATAATAATATTTTTAACGTTTTTTGTGTGTTGTGATGTTATGTGGCAAATAAATTTCACCAAGGGGACTTATAAGGTTAATAGAATTTTAAAAAATTTATAAAATAAAATAAAAGCTGAAATCGAAAACTGAAATTGTTCTAAAAATAAACTAAAGCTAATTCAAACTAATTATTCAACAAAGTTTTTTTTCTCAAATTTTGTCATTTAATATCAATATCATAAATGTTATTAGTTATTAATTACAATGATTAATAATAAAAAGTGCAATAATAGGCATATTTTATGTGAATTTTGAATATATCATGACTTTCAAACTAATGAGAATTCAAATAATTATAATATCATAATTAATATAATATATGTTATCTGGCCGATCTCAGGAACTGATTGCAAGTGTTTGTTTACGAGTTTACACAGAGGAAGATCTGGTACTCAGAATTGGCCAATCACTATGACAAAGAATTGGTACTTAGTATCGGCTGCAAAAATCCTGATCGCAGCATCCCTAAATATAATATAATATAATATCATATAATATCATATAATATAATATAATATAATCGTAAAAAGCACTTAAAATTGAAAGAGAGAAGCCGTGTCTTATGGAATTTTCTATGCCATTTTTTTGTATAAATGGTCTGTTTTTATTCTAAAAAATGAATAAGTGCACTCTTAATACCCAGATTCAATTGTTAATCTTCCATCTTTCGCCTAGTGTCGGTAGTTTAGGGAAGCCGATGGGCCCGTTACCCATGTACCCTGCAGCAGAAGATAACTACGGCTACGATGCGTGTGCTGTGCTCTGCCTGCCTTGCGTGCCCAACATCCTGGTCATCGCCACTGAATCAGGAATGCTGTATCACTGTGTGGTGCTGGAGGCAGAGGAAGAGGAGGATGGCGGAGTAAGACATCCACAATTCAGCCATAAATCAGCTGATGCACGGTAAGAGATGCTGAATGTGTGTTTGCGTGTGTGTTCAGGCTGTAGAGAGATGGTCCAGAGGCTCAGAGACGGCACCTTCGCTCTACGTATTTGAGTGTGTGGAGCTGGAGCTGACACTTAAACTGCCTGCTGGAGAAGAGGAGGAGATTACAGAGTCAGACTTCACTTGTCCAATCAGATTACATCGAGGTGAGCAGACATAAACAGTCATAATCGTGTAATAATCCTGTATATTTATTTTCAAGTGTTTGTTTGAAATATTAGATAATTTCCTTGCATTTAATGTGCTTTCTTTGTTTTAGAGGTGTGAACCTATACTGGTCTCACGGTTCGGTTACGATTATCATGCCATCGATTCGGTTCAATTCGATATCTCGGTGCATCACTGTGCATTTACGGTGCTTCATTTACACACATACACAAACATAGACAGCACCAAACAAACACACTCACACTTAAGCCCTCGCAATATGCGTTTAGCCGGGAGTGTTCGTGATGAGCGGAGCAAAAAAAAAAAAAAGAATACGGAAAAAAAGAAGCAGGTTTCTGACGGTCCCTTACTGAGAGCTCCGCTCCACGTGAGGGAGCAGTGGTCGTAATGTCGAGCGAAAAAAAGAAAAGGACAGCTGTGAAACATAACCAGCTTTGTCTTTTTGTAGGAAACACACTTTAGATCTTTTTAGGGTAAGAGGTTTTTGAGTTATTGCCGATATAACTGAATGTGTCAGGAATATCGAAAACAAAACTAACGTAACCGCGCTCATTTCTGCCCCCCCCCTCCCCCCCTGGATTTACAGTGTTTGCCTACACTGCCTATGCCACGGGCTGGCCCTGAGTTGGCTCCTGAGTGTGGTAAATACCGGCGCTCACCTCCCTCGCAACAGAGCGCGTAGGAGATAAATGACGTCAGTCCATAATAACCGGTTATGATTATTACTGAACCGATACCGAATTGTCCGCATCTGCATCGCGGTGCACCGAAAAAACAATTAATTTTGACACCCCTACTTTGTTTATAAAATGGTACGTCTTGTTGTTGAATGCTTAATAGTAGTTTTTTAACAGGTTAATGCATCCTGCCTAAATAAAACTATTCATTTCTGTCAAACCATCTGTTCCAGACCCTCTGTGTCAGCACAGGTATCACTGCACCCATGAGGCTGGGGTGCACAGTGTTGGACTCACCTGGTTCAAAAAACTACACAAGTTTCTGGAGTCTGGTGAGTGCCTTTTTCAACTCTGACATTTAAAAATTTTTACAATCACAGCATTTGAGGAATTCCGTCTATATTATCGATTCATAGCCCGTTTCCACTGAGTGGTATGGTACGGTACTATACGGGTTGGTATGGGTCACCTTTATTAGGCTTGCGTCTCCATTGCCAAAAAGGTACCAATTGTTGGTGGGCGTGATGTACGACAGAAAGTTGCAGTCGACGTCATTCTCGCTTAAGGAAATGTGAAAGTAAAGCTGTACAGGTCGTTCACATATCATATGAGAGGCACTTCTCACAAAACAGATGCTTTATCCACAGTATTTGAGTATAAATGTTCATTAACAACTTTTCTATGAACATGATTTGATTATAACTGCAGATTAATGATAGTGTGAAATAGCCTACTGTAACGTCTGCGATTATATAAAATAAATAAATTAATGCAGCATGTATGAACACATACAGACCCTTACATTCTGTCATATGTTATCAATTACAGAAAGACTACACACAGCATAAATTTAGTCCTTATTTAGGTTCAAAAACAACACAAAACATACAGCCTGTCAGTGCAAACCTCTCATCTGTACCTTTTATCTTTAGCAACACATGTAACCTAAGAGTAATTGCGTCATTCTGAGTTCATAATAGTCCAAAAGGTGATGACAAGAGGTAAACATGGCAGTTTGTTCATGGTTTAGGTTGCTGAAAGAATCATTTGCTCCTTTGTTTTTTTCGCTTCAATAATCACGCGCCCGTTATTATCATCAACTCAAGAAGTTTATTTCAAATATAGACACATTGTGAGCTCTCTGGAGAAAAGGGTACCGTTTGGAAAAGGTACCCAAAAAGTGGCACGGTACGATTTGCTTTTAGGTACCTTTTGACAGTGGAAATGGACATTAAAGTGTACCGACCTGCATTCAGCTTGCAAAATTAACATAAATCTTCGATCGCTAGCAGTGTGAGTTCAAACAAGGATGCAAAATGGGTTGTAACTGTCCGCAAAAGGACCATTGTAAAGGTGGTCGCACACCGGATGTGACTCGCCATGCAGGGCGGTATGCATTTGGAATTGTAAACAGGTTTATATCAGGCTACACACACTACGCACACATCTACGCACACATCTGTGGTGTTCATCTACGACTCGGGACACTGTTCATATTTCTGCCGCGCCACAGAGCACCATCTGAATAGTTTCATTTTAAATAACATGTGAATGTGCATGTTTGGGATGTGTTACTTTCAACAGTCATGTGCGCGGCGCATCCGATGTGCGACCCCCTTAAGGATAGAGTCTGCTTTAGCTTTGTGGATCAGTGACGGCCGGAAAAAGAACATGGATGCCAACATTATCCACACAAAAGCTAAAAAGCTTTATAACCCTTTTGCTGACAGCGATGAATATTTGTGCCTGACTACAGGTTTTGATCTTTGGTTTCATTTTTTAATACTGGACTTACTTTTCTACAAAGGTTTGAATTGAGTGTTTAAACGAGAGAAAAGTGTGAACATGTTAATGCCTGTCTAAGAATAGTGTATAAAGTGTGTAGTAAGGGGTTTTACAGCCTTAAAACATCTATAATAATTGTAAAAAATAAAGCACATTTTGTTGTTGTGTGTCTTCTGTGCAGATGAGGAGGATAAAGACAGTCTGCAGGAGCTGGCGGCAGAGCAGCGCTGTATAGTAGAGCACATCCTATGCACAAGACCTCTCGCTAACAGGTAGAACGGCCAGAAATCAACATTTCCCACCTGGGTTACTAAAAGTGTGGCGGTTAACCCCCAAATCTCTTCTAAAACAAAAGGCAGATTTACAAACTTTTAAGCAAGCTTTAAGAGACTCTGAGGAAGAACTATCGATTACTGGTGCTTTTTAAGATTTCTGTCTTCCTCTCTCTCAGTTTGCCGGCTCCAGTTCGCGGGTTTTGGATCGTGTCAGACCTGTCCCTGGGAGCCACCATGATCTGCATCACGAGTACCTACGAGTGTCTCCTGCTCCCTCTGCTGTATGTGACCAGCACTCAATGGCTTTTTTTCCCTTTGTTAAAAAAGGATTTCTCAAATGGGGATTTGTAGGAGAACTGCAGTGGCGTTTGGACTTGACATAAAGCTGATAATTCATTGTTTTGAATGTACAATTAAGTAAATGGGCTGCTTGATAATTCCTATTATATTGGATTATAAATCATAGGCTGCAGTTGAATTAAATAACTAAATCAGTATGTCAACTAATGCTCGGTTCACACCAAATGCAAATGTAGGTATTTGGCAATGCAAGGGGGGTGCAAATGTGTAATGCTCTCCATGTTTCCCGCAAAACCGCAATTGCATCTTCCACATAATTTCAACATCAACTCAAATGGAAAGTTGACAATGCAAAAAACATCTCCTGAGTAATCTAGAGCAAGTGATACAATGCTTAGCATGATTAAACCCAGCATCAACATACTTTCATATTACTACATACAATGAAAAGTCTTGTTAAAGGTGCAGTATGTAAATTTGACGCCCAGTGGTTGAACTAGATATAACATTCCTGGATCAAAACAAACGCAAGCACAGGTTGCCATAAGCTGGCAATGTCATGTTGTATATCTGCCATAGTTGTTTTTGGTTGTACAGACATGGCAATAGACGACACATGAAAATGCACAATTTTCACGTTTCATCTTCAAAAACTTGCACATAACGTTTGCAGACACTAAACGTTTGTGTTTCAAACACTATCGTTATGTAAATGAATTGCCAAAGCGCACAGAAACATGAATCCTTGTTTAAAAACAATGTTGACAAGATTTCAACTCGATAACATGTTTTATAGAGTTTCTAAATAGTTTTTCGTAAATTAAACAAATGTTTTGTTTTAATCAGACTTTTATTTTGACAGGTTGTCCTGAAGGCAGCTGTGAGTTTCTATTTGAAACATGCAGATCTCATATGTGGTTTAATATTCAGTGAAAATGTGTACAGCACTATTAGTAGTGATTTTTTTTCTTTGGTAAATTCAGTGACATTAAGAATCCTACAATAAAAATGAGGTTTTACTGACTGTTTTTTGAAATTCTGCCAGCGTTTTTCGCATTGTGGAAATTGAAAGGCCATATGATCGTGTCATTCATTCATTCATTTTCTTTTCGGCTAAAGGCTGATTTATACTTCTGCGTCAAACACCGGCGTATGCTACGGCGCTGACGCATAGCCCTTCGCCGTGGCCGTCGCTGTCACTGATGTGCACCTCTCAAAAAATGTAACTACACGTCGCAACAACGCATAGCGCAAGCTCTGTGATTGGTCGGCTTGGTAGCGATGACGAGTCTGGGCGGGACCGAGAGCCGCGCAAATGGCGCAAACCCAATTTAGCGATTGTTTACAAGTGAGGAGTCCCGTGAAGAAGCTCCTGATGGAAAGTTTTGTTTTGTGTTTACCTCATAGTTAAAGTTGCTGCACGTCCGCCGGTTGCTGCCTCAAAATGAGCGAGTTTAAGCCACTTGTACATCCCGGAAGTGTTCAGGAAAAGCAAAAAAGCAGAGAAGAAACTCGACACAGAGGAACATTTACACCTCACTGCCAACTAGCATTTCGGAAGTGTTAATGCAGACCAACAGAGACAGCGCGCAGAAGTATAAATGCACAGCCACGCGCGTGGGTTGCGCCGTGGGTTACGCCGGTCACTTGACGCAGAAGTATAAATCAGGCTTTAGTCCCTTTATAATTCTGGGGTCGCCACAACTTACAACCAACACCATAACGAACCGCCAACTTATCCAGCATATGTTTTACGCAGCGGATGCCCTTCCATCTGCAACCCATATCTGGGAAACATCCATACACACTCATTCACACTCAAGGCTGGTTTATATTTCTGCGTCAAGCGCACGCGTATCCTATGACGTGGCCTACGCGTGGACGCATAGCACTCGCCATGGCTGTCGGCGTCGCTGACGCGCAACTCAAAAAAAAAAAACAAAAAAAACAAAAAAATATGACCACATGTCGTAGAGGAAACACGTAAAGGAGCTCTGGATGGAACGTTTTTTTTTTTTTTTTTTTAGTTCAACTCATGGTTAAAGTTGTTACAGGTCCACCGGTTCCTGCCTCAAAATGAGCGAGTTTGAGCCACTTGTTCAATTAAGAAAACGTTCAGAAAAAATAAAACACCAGCAAAGAAACTCGACACAGAGGAACATAAACACCTCACTGCCAACTAGCATTTTGAAAGTGTTATTGTAGAACAACAGAAACAGCGCGCAAAAGTATAAATGCACAGCTACGCGTGTTGCATGCGCCGTGGGTCATACCGATCACTTTACGCAGAAGTATAAACGAGGCTTCATACACTACGGACAATTTAGCCTACCCAATTCACATGTCTTTGGACTGTGGGGGAAACCGGAGCACCCGGAGGAAACCCACGTGAACGCCGGGAGAACATGCAAACTTTACACAGAAGTGCCAACTGACCCAGCCGAGGCTCGAACTAACGACCTTCTTGTTGTGAGGCGACAGCACTACCTACTGCGCCATTGCGTCATCTATAATCATCTCATTAAATTGAAATATGAACTTTTTGAATTATTTAGTTTTTTCATTAGAAGTAACTGATTTCTTTTTAAATATGATTTCTATCATATTAATATTTAGTGTTTGTCTTTTCTTTAAATGTTCTAATAGAAGCTCTATTCGCCCGGCTTCTCCTCCGCTGCTGTGCTCTCATCCAGGGGCGGGGTCAGACAGCTCTCCTCTGCGTGGATTGGCTGAAGACTCCTTTGAACAGCATATCCGCAACATCCTGGCACGCAGCTCCACCAATCCATTAATGCTGAGGTAACAACAGGCTGCTTCCATTCAGTTCAATTCCCACCAGAGTAAAAAAAAAAAAAAGATTTACATGGTTTTAAATAATTGATCACAAGGCTGAAAGACCTGGTTTTGACCTATCAGCTCATCCTGGTCTAACTTGTTAGGGATAAACTAGCAATAAACCCTCTAATATCTATTTATCTATCCATTATTTTACATTGGCTTGTGATGTATAGCTTCCTGAATAGAACGGTGTCCATAATGCTTTTTTTCTGTGTCTCAGGTCGGGTGATAAGGACTCGTCTCCTCCTCCTTCTGAATGTCTTCAGCTGTTGAGCAGAGCCACACAAGTGTTCAGAGAGGAGTACATCCTCAAGCTGGGCCTGGCTCATGAAGAAATGCAGAGAAGGTACAGCTATGATTTTTTTTAGAAGTTGATATTTTAGACTTTAATTTTCTTGTGTCATTCATATCACCTCGACCAAAGCAAACTTTGACACTCTCGCCGTCCTTAGTGTGAATGCACAGTGAGAATTAAAACAACACTTTCTGCAAAGCCTAAAGGTATAGTTCACCCAAAAATAAAAGAAACAAATTCACTTTCAAGTGGTTCCAAACCTTTTTGACATTCTTCTGTTAAACACAAAGAAGATACTTTGAAGAATGTTGAAAACCAGTAGCCATTGACTTCAATAGCATTTTCTTTTCCCACTATGGATATCAATTGTCAGCGTTTATTTCAACATTTTTCAAAATATCATATTTTGTGTTACACAAAAAAAAACAACAAAAAAAAAAACAAGTGAAGGGAGAGTAAATAGTGAGTTCATTGTAATTTAGGGTGAACTATCTCTTTAAATGGACTGTGGTTAAAAAACATGTTGTAATATAATGATTGTCCTGTTTTAGAGTAAAGCTCCTGAGCGGACAGAAGAACAAGCAGTTGGAGGATCTTGCTCTTTGTAGAGAGGACAGGTAACAATTAACACAACTCTAATCTCAATCACACCTACGTAATACGTTTATCTCAGAACTGAATGTGCGAGTGCAACATCTCACTCTAGAGACCTCAACTTGATGCTATTATTAGGTGTGGTAAATATGTGAGTGTTAATAAGTGAATAATTACTGTAAACTGTGCTAAAAATGGTAAATGTGATGATGTGTTGTAGAAAAAGCCTGACAGAAGCTGCAGAGCGACTGGCGGATAAATATGAAGATGCCAAATATCGTCAAGAAGCCATCATGAACAGGTTCACCTTTCTCTGAATTTAAATTCTGAGTTTCATAGCAGGGTTACTACAGGGCTGAAAAAGTTCAATTTCAAATTTTTTGCTTGCTAAATGTAAAAGTGTTTTGTGCTAGGTCTTTAATGATTGTAAAAAGGTCTTAAAGGGGATAGTTCACCCTAAAACTAACATTTACTCGCCTCAGATGGCTCCAAACCTGTTTTAGGCTGCATTTACACTGCATTGTTTAAGTGACCCATTTTTTTCTCCCATGTGGCACAGATCAGATTTGGCCCATGTATGTGCATGCAGAAAAAAATACATGGATTCTGATTTACTCCAATCAGATTCAGGCCTTGTTCATATGTGGAAATTTATCCGATATGAATCGGATCCGTGCTGCAGTTTAAGCTGTCGGATTTTCACTTGCCAATGAGAGTCGCACATCATTAAAAACCGTTGAGAATGATATCAACTCTGACAATTTCATCTAAGAACAGACTTCAGCAAGTCCCAAACCTTATATTTCATATACTAGAACAAAAAAAGCATTTATATTGTCATATAGCACAAGTTTTCAAGCATTTTAGTGAGCGAGAGAGAGTGCAACATCCGCAATATATAAAACTGTTGCATACATCACATGCAGAAATCACACCAGCTGTGGCCTACTGGTTTAAAAAAAAGGTCAGATTAAAAGAAGATGGCCAGATGAGAACTCTTCTGTCATAAGCGATTAGTAAAACAACTTGCCAAAAATAATTTTAAAAATGAAACCCTGTGAATAGATTAAATACAGGAATGAAGAAAAGGGCGCTCTTTTATTATCAGCTGTCAGTCAGCGCCTACTCTTTTTTTTTTTTTTTTTTTTTTCCCTGGATGTTGCGTCTTGTCATTGTGTGCAGTGTTTAAAAGATCATGTAACCGGTCATCAAAAAAAAATCGAATACAGTCACAAAATCGGAATTGACCTTCAAGATCTGCAGTGTAAATGCGGCCTTGTTTTTTATTTTGATTCAGTGGATTTGTACTTTTTCTTCCACTAGTCTAAAATAATTTGCTGTATTTAAAGGGGACCAATTATGCCTATTTTTACAAAACATGAAACAAATCTCTGAATTACCTAGAGTGTGTATGTGAAGCTTCAGCTCAATACGCCATAATGTTTTATAACTCTTTGAAACTGCCCTTTTAAGGTTTTGATCTAAATTGTGCTGTTTTGGTGACTGTAGCTTTAAATTCAAATGAGATCGTGCTCCTTTCAAAAGAGGACGGAGCTACAAATGCCTGTGTATCAGCATAGTGGCAGATACAAAAACAAGACTAATGTCCTATGCTAATGAGAGAGAGAGAGAGAGAGAGATAGTCACTAATGGGCGAGGATTTCCTCCGATGACACATACAAAGGGAGAATGTCAATTAAAATGTTTCTGCAGACTGTTTAATCAAATGTGATTTTAAAACTATAGAATGAATACATTTTAGCAACTGGTTATATTTAAACACTGTTGCCACATAATTGTGTTTAAACCCCTTATAAAAGTGTTTTTTTGCATAATAGGTCACTCTTAAGCTGCAAATGAAACCATCATCATGTTATAGGTAGTGTTGACTTGATATAAGGGTCTTAAAACGTGTTAAACTTGACTTGGTGAAACCCCAAACTTAATTGAAAAATAATGACATGAGCTTTCTAAACTTTCTCCCCACTCTTTAAAAAAATATTGAAACTAAGCTGCAAAAATGTGTGTTGTACAGAGTAAAGCGGGTTTTGGGAAGTCTGCGGAGTCAACTTCCTGTGCTGTCAGACAGCGAGAAAGACATGAGGAAGGAACTGCAGACCATCAATGATCAGCTCCGTCACCTTGACAACGGCATCAAACAGGTCCGTTCTATGGTGGATCTTAGTTTATTTTTGCAGCACGCGCACCTTTGTTGCTACGAGCTGCGCGGACGCATGTTAATGTGCTGTTAATGTGTTGTCAGGTGAACATGAAGAAAGATTACCAGAAGAAGCAGATGAACGCGGGAGCATCTCCGGCTCACTCCAGCCTCACTCTAAACGCCCACCAGAGGAAGTGTTTGCAGGGAGTGCTGAAAGAACAGTACGTACACACACTTTACAACTGCTTTGGTTTCACACGTACATCACAGCTCTGAACTGTCAGTGCCAGCATTCATACTGTTAGATGCTTAAAAGTAGAGCTGCACAATGTATTGTTTCAGGATTGATATCGCTTCCATAATAGTCACATTGCCAGATGCAATGTTGATTAATAATCATAGTTAACCAGAGCTACAGAAAACTTGTGGTTTAACCATAATAGACTGAAAGTTTATCATTTGCAGAAGAGTTTAAAACATTGGGCGAGGGTTAGGTCGATAGACGTTGCTGTCGTCCATCGCCGATGGCCGATAGACATAAGGCTGAGCCGGCATCACGATCCTCCACCCAGCCCTCATCACAGCAGCAACCCACTTGTGAAAAATACACATTTTGGCCACATTTAGTACCGCTGGATATAAATACCGTGATATTTAATTAATCTTGTCTCTATCGAACGAATATATCAGATAACTTGTAACAGCGTCAATACACTGCTTCAGTCTTTCGCTTTCACCATTGTACTTAGTAAGTTTAGCTAAAACCTCAGATACTGTTGGTTGGTTGCTGTTGGTTGTGCACCTTTTTTACCAAACAAGTTTGTCGATGCCATTTAAACGACACCGATCACTTTGCCTGTTCATGCCAGAGTCATGTGGAAAAATTGATTGACAGGTGGTAATTTGTGTGTAACTTATCTGTATTTATTTATGATTTGATTACTTATGGGTAGGCCCACACAGAATCTGCACGCGCAGAATTCCGCAGATTTTCCGCAGATTTCTGCAGATTTTTAGCCCATCATTAATTCTGTTTATTTACTTGAGTAAATGTGTATATCTGAATTTATTCCGTTTTTATTCAGTAATTTATTACTTTTTATTTAATATATTAAGGTGTAAGTTATGATACTCCGCTGGATACTCCCAAAATATTTCCGCAGAAATCCGCAGATTTTTACCAAAATTCTGCACAGAAATAGCAAAAGACGTCCGCAGATTCCGTCTGGCCCTACTTATGGGTAAAACAAAGGCCATGCGGGTTAGGTAGTTGTAGGCTACAAATAATTAATTTGTTATGAATTAATTGTTCATAAATGATTAATTCATCGCCGCCTACAACGACGATGCCATTGCCATTGTTTCACATTAGACATTGTATGATGCCAAATTGGTAAACATCGCCCATCCCTAATTTGGGCTCCAAAATTCTGATGTTTGGAGGTGTAACAAGGACAAATTTCATTTTGCATCGTTTCTAGTTCAAATATCTACATTTCAAAGCGAATAACAATGTTATTTTCCTTACGCCATTAGCATTAATTTAGCTTGTTTTAAAGAAAAACTGAAGTTTGAACAATATTTTTAATCGATCTAAGCATATTTAGATAATCAGAGTAGAAACAGGACAAGGCAAAGTAAGAAAAGTATTTTTTGGTTTGATATTGAATTTCTGTAGCTGAATACTGTTAGACTCCACAGAAAAATGTAAAATAGAGCTATTAAAAACATCTTGTGAAACTATTCGTATCGCAATATTTATTGCAGAAAAATAAAATATAGCAATATCCGATTCCAATATCGTGCAGCCCTAGTAACAAGCGTGCATTGGAAAGAGCTTTAAAATGGTATGTTTGATTTGTAGCAAGATGAAAAGAAAGCGAAACAATATAAAAAATATATATATATTGAAAACCCACATTCCTTTTCACTGTAATTTGCAGAAAATGGATCCATTATTGTAACACTTGTAATAAAATGTAATATACAAAAGCGCCCCTCCCCCTCCCCCCTGTTGTGCAAGTTTCATTCTAGTTCTCTTACAAATTTAAAATTCACTGCATTATACAAAAACTGTTACTTGTTATATGATTCACTTGTTACTGTTATGCAAAAAAAAAACCTACTACAATAAATGTATTTATTTAAAAATGGAACAGGAGTTTCAAGTGCATACAGTCAAAGTCCCTTTAAGGCAAGTCATTTCACTCAGCGACCATCTTTTGAACTGCTCTCGGGCAGTATGCTCGGTCATTCAGTTTGAATGGGGAAAGATCCAATTCTCCAAAATTGCTTGCCAAGCTTACGAATCATTTTCATATTAGGACATCACCAATAAGTTAAAAACTCAACTGTCTCTTTAGTTTCATTTCAAAACGTTCAAATCATGCCAAATCTGCAGAAACTCACGTCTGGTCTGAGCCTCTTTCCCGGAGAATCGTCAGTCTACATCGATCGATGATTGATAGGCTCCTGTACTAGAACACTGGGCTTTGTTTGCCATATTAATCATGACACTTTTCCCCATTCAAAACTATACGAGTGACACATCTTGCACATTCTATAGTCTTTGATACAGTACACAGTTCTTGACTGTTGTTGTTGATCCACTGAACTATATGCTTTCTTTCCCGCAGAGGAGAGCACATCGCTGGCATGATGAAGCAGATCAAGGACATCAAAAACCATTTCAGCTTCTGACCATCAGCGATTCAGAGGCCATTACCAACGACCATTGTACAGTATTCATCGAAATCCCAGAAGAACCAATAAGCAACTCTATAGCCAATGAACTCTTCTGAAAGAAAGCGTTTGACCCACACCTCTCACATTTAGTTGCAAATTTTTGTATGAACTAATTTTGTCTTTAATTTTTATGAGTGTATATGTCCATGTTTAATTCTTCTGGACAATAAAGCGTTTTGTACATTGAAATAAATCTTTCCTGTGTATGACTTTATCAGCAGCATTGAGCATCAGCATTATTTATATACAGTTGAAGGCTTACATTTAAAGGCTTAACTAAGTAAATTAGGGTAATTAGGAAAGTTATTGTATAACAGTGGTTTGTTCTGTAGACATTTGTAGCAAAAGATCAAAAGAAAATCGGCACAACCTTCCCTTTAGCTCTCAAAAGTCTTTAATATCACTCACACGACGTTTCAACCAACATGGTCTTCATCAGGTAAAGCATTACTAATGGGAGTACTCAAGAAATAGTGAAACACCTGCAATCAATCATCACAATCAGCCAACAAGCCAGTAAACAGGAACATTTAAATACAACAATATACATATGACAATATGAGATACACACAGACCATTACAAACAAGACTTAAAATACAATTTAACTTCCTCAGAGACAAAGAATTCAATGTATAAATATAGCGCATCACACCTGCAAAAAATCACATCAATCAACCACAAGGCCAGTGAACCAAGGGGAAAACAATTGTGTACACATATTTAGTATACAACAGTATTTGATATAAATACACTTACAAAAAGGATTTAAATCAAAATCCAAATTTAAACCTCTGAGATAAAGTTTTCAGTGTGTAAATGTAAAACGCTTCCCTCTGTAATAAGTCTGTCAATGTAGTCCCCACCACTTCTCTGTACCATCACTTGTTCAATGCCAATATATCGTAATTTCGCAAGGGTTTGTTTCAATGTGATAAAATAAACAAGAGATTGGATTTCGTTGATCCTTTAATCGTATATTACTTGTGTTCAGCAAATTGTTTTTTTTTTAAACACAGTCTTGTTTTACCGATGTAGGCTAAACCACAAGGACATTTAATCATATAGATCAAATTTTTTGTGTTGCATGAAATCACAGCTTTAATCTTTAATTGCTTACCTGAAGGGGGACGACTAAAAAAACTGACATTTGGTTGTAAAGTTACACTGCGCATTGACCACATCTATAATTACCTTCAGGGACTGAGAAAGGATTATAAGACCGTTCAGAAACTTGATCTGCTCTCACTACGATTTGTCGCAAAGTAGGGGCTCGTTTAAAAACGATTCATTAAGGATCTTTACAACAATGTCTCATAACAGGATCTGAATTTAAATTATGCCAATGTCTACATACTATATTTGCAAACTCTGTATACTCTCAATACTGAATAATACAAGAGATCCGTGTATTTAAAGGTTTTGGTGTTTTTCGAACCAAGGCTTCTTTTTGATCCATATTTTCAAATTGGGCCGCAGCTTCTTTAATCCATTTTGTAGAATAACCTCTATCATAAAACCATGGACGTAGTTCCTTACGTTGTTTATCAAGCGTTTGTACTGATACGGAATCGCTTGATGATGCAATTGCTTTCACCTTGCACACTGCTCTGTCTCACTCGGAAAACAAAAGCACATATGTGAGAGTGCTGTTTGTGGACTACAGCTCAGCATTCAACACCATGGTGCCTGCCAAGCTGGTGGTGAAGCTCCAGGATCTGGGTTTTTACAGCTCTCTTGTGCAACTAGATACTGGACTTCCTGTCAGGCAGACGCCAGGAGGTCAGAATGAACAACATTACATCATCGACACTGATCCTCAACACTGGTGCTCCACAGGGCTGTGTTCTCAGCCCACTCCTGTACTCCCTGTACACACGACTGTAGAGCCAAACACAGCTCCAACGTCATCGTTCAATTTGCTGATGACACAACGGTGGTGGGCCTAATCACCGATAATGATGAGACGGCCTACAGAGAGGAGGTGCACAGTCTGACGCAGTGGTGTGAGGAAAACCACCTCTCACTCAACATCAGCAAAACCAAAGAGCTGGTGGTGGTTTCAGGAGAGAGAAGAGAACACACCCCCATCACCATCAACGTGACACCAGTGGAGAGAGTCAGGACTTTCAAGTTTCTTGGAGTACACATCGCAGAGGATTTGACATGGACGGCTCACACAGACGCAGTGCTGAGGAAGGCATAACAACACCTCTTCTTTCTCAGGCGTCTCAGGAGGTTTGGAATGAGCCCCCACATCCTCCGCTCGTTCTACACTGTGGAGAGCACCCTGTCTGGCTGTATCACTACCTGGTATGGGAATAGCACCAGCAGCAATCGCAAAGGCCTACATAGGATTGTGCGAACTGCTGGACGCGTAGTAGGAGGTGAGCTTCCCTCCCTCCAGTACATCTACACCAGGCGGTGCATGAGAAAAGCCAAGAGAATTATTAGCAACTCCAGCCACCCAAGCCATAGACTTTTCTCTCTGCTACCCTCAGGCAGACGGTTTCGCAGCATCCGATCACGCACGCAGGATGATATACAATCATATGTTTGTTTGACCAAACTGACTGAAGCTTAAGCCGGAATATAAATAATTAAGAATAAACCGTTATTGTTGATTATTAATATTCATAAAAATGAGCTAATTTCTGTTACATGGGTGTTTCCCAGTGATGGGTTGCAGCTGAAAGGGCATCTGCTGCGTAAAACATGTGCTGGATAAGTTGGCGTATCATTCTGCTCTGGCGAACCCTGATTAATAAAGGGACTATGCTGAAAAGAAAATGAATGAATGAATGAATGAATGAATGAGTGAATGAATTTAGTTTAGAATATACCAATAGTAGTTTGTCAACTTTGTTTGTGTGATATTTCAGTGCATTTCCCATTGGCATTTTAAAAACAATGATGAAAATCATTCCTAAATGGAGAAAGGTTTATCTGAAGAAATCAAAACTAAATTATGAGATAAGACAGACAAATTGTGTGTCAAATACAAAATCAAAGTGACTTGTCAAGTTTGATTTTAATAATCTTGACTTTCTTTTGGTAATTTAGTTTTGGTTTTACAGCATAAATGGCTACGAATCAAAACAATGAACATTATAATTATGGCAAAAGATCCAAATATGAGATACATGCCCAATTATAGTATAAAAGTCCAATGTTTTTCACATTACGACAGGCAGAATTGCCAGTCATAAATAAATTAAAAGTGGAAATGGCTGAAACTGACAACTTTGACAATCTTCACTAATTTGATCATAACTGACTACAAATCAGAATGAATTTAAAGTATGACAAAAAAGTTAACATTTAGTTGCCAAGTCAATTAAGAAATAAATATGAATATATGTTAACGCAAAAGTAAGTGGAAAAACTTGAAATTCAAATTATAACTTATGTACACAGCCTTCTGGACAAGAGTTTAGTACACTGAAGTGAGTCTTTCCTGTGTAAAAGTTTATCAGCAGCATTAAGCATCAGCGTTATTTCCTGAACAGAGACAATGGTTTATCTGAAGAGGTCAGTCTAGAGATGATGAAGACTCTTCCTTTTTATTCTCCTTCCGTTTTTTAATCAGAAGACATAATGTGAAGAGAGAAACGATCATGCCAAAAACAAGCAGCTTCTGTACTCAGGGGAAGGAATGCACTGTTTGTCTCTTCTGCTCCCCCAGTTTGTACCAACAGACATTTAATCTTTAGAAAGTTTTCATTTAGAATTTAAGTCTGAGAGGCAAAGATTTACAGCCATGTAAGAGAAAAAATAAGCTTTGGTGAATCCTAATTGTCTGGTCAAACTTGGTGAATTACAATTTTGAGATTACTCAAGTCATAACTGAGGTTCTCTCAGATATGTAACTTAGTCAATAAAAAAATGTAAGTGATGTGGACAATTTTTGAGACAAAAGGTAGTTTTTAAAAGAGTCATGATAATGACAAAAGTCAAAATTGAGAGACAAAGTCAATTATGAGATGTGGCATGGAAATAAATTACAATTCGAAATTCATTCATTCATTTATTTATTTTCCTTTGGCTTAGTCCCTTAATTATCAGGGGTCACCACAGCTGAATGAACAGCCAACTATTCCAGCATGTGTTTTATGCAGCGGATGCCCTGGCAGCCACAAACCAGTACTGGGAAACACACTCTCACATTCATGCACACACTCATACCAAATTGAAACCGGTCACCACAACGGAACGAACCGCCAACTTATCCAGCATGTTTTACACAGCGGAGACCCTTTCAGCTGCAAACCATCACTGGGAAACATCCATACACACATTCACACACATACACTACAGACAATTTAGCTTACCCAATTATGGCGCATGTTTTTGGACTTGTGGGGCACCCGGCGGAAACTCACGCGAACACGGAGAACATGCAAACTTGAACCAGCGACCTTGCTGTGAGACGATTGTGCTGCCCCCAATTTGAAATAATAAGGCATAAAAAATGTCAAAATTGAGAGCCAATTATGAGATAAAAAAGTTAATTACAAATACATTTTATCAATCACAATTAGCAAGTCAAATCTGAGATAATTATGAGACTGTAAATATGCAATAATAAATTTACACATTTACACAAGTAAATAAATAGACTCAATGATGGACTAAAAATCGGTGGAAATCTGCGGATTTCTGCTCACACAGATTCTGCTTGGGCCTACACATAACCCATAACCCATGAAAAAAAAGCCCAAAACCTATAACCAGTGGAATTAATAATAATAATAATAATAATAATAATAATAATAATAATAATAATAATAAAAAACGGATAACCCAAGTGGTTAAAATTTGCCAAAGTCCGTAGTGGACTTGACAACACTACTATTAAAGTCTGTAATTAGAAAGTATGTAAAAAAGGGCGTTGCTAGACCTGGAGCTCTACTGGGGCGCGCACATGACAGCTGAAAGTATCGCACACCAGACGCGCACATTCGCATGCTATTTAAAATGAAACTAATCAGATGGCGCTGCAGAAATATGAAAAGTGTCCTGAGTCTTGGCTGGGTGCCGCTGATAGCCGCCGACTTGCGGTGCCGGTGTGTGTACCCTGATAGAAAACTGTTTAGAATTCAAAAATTATTATTAAATTGCATTGCTTTTACCAGCGTTGGTTTGGTTGCTCATAGAGAATAACATCTTTATTTCGGAATTACTACTCTTAATAAATACACTTGCATATGAAGTAAATCATATCTCAAAGCATACTGGGGCACTGGTGATTTTTATTGGGACAAGTGCCCCAGTAAATTGGGTCAAGCGATCCCCTTCTTATGTCCGATAAGGCATTCACCTATCAATTTGTGCACTCAGGGACACCTGAAAACTCAGTGAAAACTTTCTAGAAAAAGACATACTGATTTCAGGCAAACTACTAACATTATATATAAAGTTCTGCAATCTGCATGGAAATATTCAAGACGTGAGCCTTACTCGAAATGAAAATAAAATTAAAACTATAAGTTAATAGTAATTAAAAATTTTTATATTTTAAACATAAATAAAATGTTACAATGATTATGCGTAAATAATTATAAGACACATTACTACATTGTGAGGCTCCAGGCTATGCATGCTGTTTAAGATAGTTAATCTCACCTGTCGTTCATAGTTCACTGATTATGTTGTCATGTCACGTCTCCATAATATAAAGTTAATGCGGGCTGTGCTGGTTTTTATAACAGAAAATTAGTTAATAATCCTCGAGTCTTCGCGTTTGGAGTTCGTTCAGCAGTATAGTGGCATCACTGTTGACGGTGGCAGTTAGGTCGTCCACACAAACGTATCCATTTCCTTTCATACACAAACTTTTCAGAACAAAAAGATTACATTGTATATTACCCAGCCTTTGTGTGTACCTTTCGTCTGCGTTATAAGTCCTATACGAGCAAATTATTACCATATTACGTTAAAGCCGATGTGACTAGTCTTTTTTACTCGTCGGATAAAATGGCGGTGATATGATTATGATCACCTGACAATCAAACTGCCTGCAAAAGGCCACTTGAAATAAATGAGTTTAAAAAATCATTTACAAAAACATGATTGAGAAAGTCAATCAGATATTTTATATAAAAAAGTAAACTAGTCATTGTTGATACTTCATTATTAGACAAAAATTATGAGTTATGAGTATGACTGTTGGTAAAACGCCAATAATTCGTCTTGGGCTATATGCACACACTTTTAAATTTCAGCTTTCGGTGAACTGTCCATTACAAAATTGTCCCATTAAAGATCTGATTTCTTTTAAAATCAGCAATCTTCACAGTCTGATAGAAATACGAAATGAAGTGGGTCTCAGACCGGAAAAAGCGCTGCATTAAATTTCCCCCTGCCATGTCTTTCAAACATAGTTTATTTTACCCCAGTATTTTCAATGGAATTTCTGCGGTAGCCTGTTGCTACTTTTATCTCGTTTTACACTTGAACTAAATAAATGCTAATGTCTTTTTAACTGAATGTATTGTAATTACATTACAACATTGATGCTGTAAAAACAACCTTGTGAAATTGAAAAGGGTCACATTAGGCTTTCACCGGAAGTTTATCGTTGGCTTAAAGCTCTAGCTGTGCAAAGAGAAAAACACTTAGGTTTCAATTGGTTTTATTATATAGATATATACAGGGATATGTACACAGTACAGTATATAAATCTGCAAGGGCTTCTGCATCTGCAACACGGCATGCCAAAAACAGAAATATGACCGTTGTTATTGTGAAAGTATCTGAACTATCACTCTTCACAGACCCAGTTAAAAAAAAAAAAGATTCATGAATTATAAATTATCTGAAGGAAAACAAACAAACAAAAAGAATCAATAAAATCTGTAGTCTCCAAGCCCCAAATTAGTTGTAGAGTTCCAACAGTGTCTTCTAAAGCAAAATGTAGTTCCTAAAATATCCTGACAACATCAAAACTACACTGAAGTGAAGCTTCTATGTGTTTGCAATGTGAAAACAGCACAGGACGGGTGAGCGTTATGTAGGACATAAAATAAACACCACCACAACACACATGGTCTTATTATAATGCACATATTCATACTGAAGAGCTTCATCATCATCATCAGTTTACATACAGATTATAACAGCAGCACTGGTCATGTAGAGTAGCGTTGGTAAAGTCTTGTGTAACCATAACACACTTAATTGACTCATGTCAATTATGAGATAACATGAATTGAGAAATCATTTCGATGAAATACAAAGTCAAAATGTTGCCAAGTGACTACGTTTGACTTGACTTATCCCGACTTTCATTATTTAGTCCTTTCATTTATTGCATAAAACAAAGCCTAAGTTTGGCTTGACTAATCTTGGCTTTCATAAGTTTGGCTTTGCTTTATGTATTAAATAAAACCTTGGCTTTGATCTAGGCTTTATTTTATGCATTTAATGAAAGGACTTATCTTGACTGTTAGAACTTAGTCCTTTCATTTATTGCATAAAACAAAACCTAAGTTTGGCTTGACTAATCTAAACTTTTATAACATAGATTTTGTTTATCAAAGAACTAAGTTTGACTTGACAAATCTTGACTTTTATAATTTAGACTTTGTTTTATGGAATAAATGAAAGTACAAAGTTTGACTTTCATAACTTAGGCTTTGTTTTTGCAATAAACGAAAGAACAGAGTTTAACTTGACTAATCTAGACTTTCATAACTTGGGCTTTGTTTTATTCAATAAATGAAAGTACTAAGTTTGACTTGCTTTATCTTGACTATCACAACTTAAGCTTTGTTTTATGCAATAAATGAAAAAATTAAGTTTTACTTGACTTATCTTGACTTTAATAACTTATTCCTTTCATTTATTGCATAAAACAAAGCCTAAGTATTACTTGAAAAATCTTGACATTCATAACTTAGGCTTTGTTTTATGCAATAAATGAAAGTACTAAGTTTGACTTGACTTATCTTGACTTTCATAACGTAAGCTTTGTTTTATGCAATAAATAAAAGGACCAAGTCTGACTTTCATAACTTAGGCTTTGTTTTATGCAGTGAATAAGAGGGATACGTTTAACTTAACTTATCTTGAACTTCATAAATTAGGCTTTGTTTTATGCAATAAAGGACAACACTAACTTGACTAATATTGACTTTCGAAATTTAAGTTTGCTTTGTGATAAATAAAATGATTAAGTCTGACTTGACTGATCTTGGCTTTAATAATTTAGGCTTTATTTAATAAATGACTGCAAGCCAATAATTATGACAAAAAGCCAAATTATGGGAGTCAATAATGGGATAAAAGTTAAGAGTTTATCATAAATTATGGCAAATTGACATGATGGTCATTATTAATATTAAAAGTATATTATAAATCAAAAGTAAGAGTTATACAATGACAATTCAAAAGATATGAAGTCAATTATGAGACAAGTTAAAATTATAACAAACTGAAAAGACGGTCAATTACAACATGGTCAAACAACTGTAAATCAAATAAATTATGACTATTTCATCATTTTTTGAGTTCTTATATCATCAAAACTGGCCACTATAAACACAAGTCATAATTATGATGTCAAAATTGAGATGAGAAGATTATGAGAAGGTTAAATGAACGTAAAATTATTAGATGTCGAAAATATACGAAATTAACTGATTATGAGTGTAAAACTTTTAACTTCGTAAGTTTTGATTCATTTTGTCAAAACTGACTACAAAATCAAAATGGGTCATGAAAGCAAATCAAAATTGAGATGCTAAAACAATTATGAGTATATAATAATCAGTAGAGAATATTACAAATTAAAACAGTCATAATTATGATGCATGAAAATTAAGATATTAAGTCAATTATGATACATAGTCAAATTAGGCTGTTGTAACTCAATTTTAAATTTGACGTTTAATTTGTCACAATTTTGAACTGTCCTAAATATCAGCATTTCGATTTTATATATTTTGTATAATACATTTTTTTTTCCATATTTTTGAAATATCACTGACACAGTCACATCAGCAGACATAATATTCAACATGCAGGCTTTAACTATGAATTGTCAATTTCATCAGCCAGTTTTCATGTTTAAGCATCTGTTTTTAAATCAACAGACGTTTTCTTTTAAAATGTAAGTGCACAGCCTTAACTAAAATCCATGTTGTAACGAATTTAAAAAAAAACATGCTGAAATCACATGCCACTTTTGGTCTTATTAAAAAAAAATCTAAATTTTTACTATTTAATCCAATAACTGGATCATAAATCACGCACGCTTGTTTCCTGCAGTTGAGTTACACCGCCTCGCATCCGTTGCTTAAAACAAAACAGCAGCCAACAACGAAATGATTTAAACCCATTAGCCCTCGATGATTTAAACTCACCAAATACGCTGCGTTGAGTATTTAAGGTCATAACATGATCAACTTTGGTTACTCGAATCCCATACGGAATTCCGTTGCACACAAGACAGACATATATTACTGTACCTCCTAATCTGGTACACAAACACAGGGGTCGTCCACAAGGACTGTAAATCAGAAGCATAGTGTGCTTTCGTTATATAAACAGCAGAACCATGAGACACCTTCTAGAAGGGTCGGTGTAAGTGCTGTTGCCAAATCCTCGACACAAATCAACCCGGACATCCCAGAAGTCATCTATAAATATCACTTGATATGTCTGCGAAGGAAAAAAAAAACAGAAAAATAAGCAAAACCTCAGTCCAAGTAGCAGTAACGTCAAGCAAAAGCTCATCAAACTGTCTGGAAGTGAAAGAAAATTTACTGTTGATGATGGATGTCGAAAAACAACACAATGAGGAGTGATTACATCGAATGGCGGATGTGAAAACAAAAGAATCGCAGTGTATGTATTAACTAATGCAATATACACAAATATTCTGTATACAAGTATGTACAAAACACTTGAGAAGCGTCCGTTTCCTTCATATTTAGCGGATGGAAAGACGAAAAAGAAGAAGAGGTATCGGGGGAGAGAGATGGGACAGTGATATTTTCTCAAAAGGCGCATTCAGCGAAAGACTTTGAGAGACAGGAAGTCTCCATTCGGGCTCTTGCCAAGGCATGTAGAGCAGTAGTAGATGGGGTCAGTAGTGTTCACTCGGGACTTCCTCACTGGATCTGAATGGATGGAGATAGTGGGGTTCAGGTGGATTGCATGTGTTTCTGTGCACGCAGTGGGGTTTTGAGGAAGTGACATCATGTCTCTGGAAGCTGGCTGATGTCTGTAAGGTTGGTGTCGTTGAGGATGGCGCGGATCCGGTCTAATGACTCGGCCTGCCGAATGCGCTCTAGCTGCACCTGCGGGAGGACAACATTGCACTTTTACGTTCATGTGGAAACTGGTCTCTCAGAAAAACGGAACTTCTGTATGTTTTGCCGAAATTGGTGGCAAGTTATTTAGAAATTAAATTAATAATAAATATTATCCTTATTAAAATCGTATTTTTATTAGGGCTGTGCGATATGGGCAAAAGAAACCTATCACGATTTTCTTGAACAATGCTGCGTATAAATCACAGCTCCGGGCAAATGTGTAAATCATTTTTTAAACAACTTTAAATATTTTAAATGTTATTTATTACTGTCATTTTTTTTACTTATAGCAAAACAAAATTTAACAATTCTGGGACTCTAGGGGTGGGAATCTACTGAGACGCGAAAGGGACGTAGTGGAGGAGAAAAAAATTGGCTGAGTGAAAAAAAAAAATGGGTTGGAGAAAAAAAAATGGGTGAAAGAAAAAAATGGGTGGGAGAAAAATATATATTTTTAAGTTTTTGCATTCTCTCGCAAAGTTTTGCGTTTTCTCGCAAAGTTGTTTTCCATTATCTCGCAAAGTTGTTTTGTGTTTCCTCGCAAAGATGTTTTGCATTCTCTTGCAAAACTGTTTCTTCACAAACACTTCCTGTTCACTTCACTCATGTAAACCGTACCGTTTTTGCCAAAATTCTCCCGTATTTTACCAAATATTTTACCGTATTTCTATCCCACTTTCTTTACATTAAAGCTGTGCGTCGATCGTCGCCTTTCATATGCAACCTCTAAACCAGTGACTGTATAAGCGCTGACTGACAGACGTGCTCCGTACAATAAACTGATCCTAGATCAGCTTCTGTACACGCCATTTAAAGTGACGCCTCTGTTATCAAACAAGTGAGCAGCAATTGAATCTCTCGTTTTGTTTTGTTTGATAACAGAGGTGTCTATGTAAGAATGCACAGCTCAATAATGAAAGCATTCCATTACTTTAGAAACTGTTTGTGCTCATTTAAGAGAAAATTAGCTGTTTAAAATAAAACATGTAGGATGGACATGTTCACATATTATTCAGTGTATTTGTCTGTTTAAACATACATCCAAATCCAAAAGTGCCCTGCACTTTTGCTCCTCTGTAAATGACGTGTACAGAAGCTGATCTGGGATCAGTTCATTGTACAGAGCGCATCTGTCAGTCAGCACTTGCATGCATTCACTGGTTCAGAGGTTGCATTTGAAAGGCGACGATTGACGCACAGCTTTAATGAAAGGAAAGTGAATGCAGACAATTCAATATTAATTTCAGCGTGCTTCAAAGATTAACAATATATCAGAAATAAGGGAAAATAATTAATGACAGGATGATAGTGAGATAGAATGGTAAAATACGGGAGAATTTCGGCAAAAACGGGAGGGTTTACATGAGTCAAGTGAACAGGAAGTGTTTGTGGAAAAAATATTTTGCGAGAATGCAAAACATCTTTGCGAGGGAACGAAAAAAAAAAAAAAAAAAACTTTAAAATATTATCTATCACTGTTTCTCCCACTCAGTTTTTTTTCTTCCACCAATTCTTTTTTCCTACACCTATTTTTTTTTTCCCACCATCACGTCCCTTCCGGATTTCCGTAGGAATCAGTAAAGTTCTCACGGTACAATATGATCATGATACTCATTTCACGATACAATATCATTGCGATTTTAATTATTTTGTGATATTTAGTAATATATTGCAATTTATTTCCTTTTTTAACTTCAAATTATGTTCCTCAAAATTAAGAATCAAGGGTGCATTATCTAATTAAAAGTAACCTTAAAAAATAAAAACAAAGAAACAAACATCTATCTAAAATCAGACTTTTAAACAGTGTGTACATACAGTAGATGAACCACGTTAACTTCAAACAAGCATATTAGAAAAGGTTTAATTGGTCTTTCAAAATGAAATGTAACAACTAAATCATTCACTTATTAATAACTAAATTAACAAATAATTAATAAACGTTTTCAAATGTCTATATGCGAGTTTGCTTGAAGCCATTTGGCAGAATAACTAAAGAAGTAACGCCAGATATACTATCCTCTCTCAGGACTGTCTGACAAACCGTGTAGAAATGAAACTGTGGTTTAATTTCTAGTGAAATGCATTTACCTGAAGGGTCTGGGACAGTTTGACGAAATCTCTCTGGACCTGCTCGCTGACGTCCAGCTCTGCCTGAAGTCTCTGTGATTTGTCTTTCTCTTCAAACACCTGAGTCTCCAAAGCACTCTGCATCAAACACACATTTTTAAATTCGCAGTGACTTGATGTTTGCATCTTCACATGTTTAAACCAAGTGGCAACACCCCACTCTCCCTCATAAAACCAATGTGGAAGTAAAAGAAACTGCAATTCATCGAAATTCCGCTAGGACTAACTCCAAAATAGAGCACATTTCTATTGACCCCAATGTTTACAAGGCCAACTTTACAGCAGAAAAAAAAGATGTTTAAAACCTGGTACTAAAAACGTTTTGAGTGTTAAATGCTAATATTACTTTTCATGACAACTGTGTGAATTTTTTTATAACTCATCCATTTCATAATAAGTCTGTATAAGTAAGGGCATGGCTAGGTCTTGCTGCTTGTTGTCACTCCACCTCAGCCAATTCCAGCTGATTAGCTGAGCATATATGCCATATTTCTGATTTGTTTTCTTTGGCTTCACACAGTCAGTTGTCCACTCGGATAATTTCTTACAATTATCAGATAGTATGGCATGCGCTGTGCACTTAATTGTGCTCACAAACCATTCATGTGGCCTCCATTTCTGCAGTGAGAGAAATTCTTATATCATATGTATAAATGTATTTGTTTTATTTAAGATCATTTATTTATCATTTATAATTTTCACTCTCCCCGCTAGGGCATGAGATGTTTCCGCACATCGCTCCGCTTGCGCATGCATATTGGCATATATTCTTACATTGGAAATAACAAACGTGTACTCAAAAAAGACGCTATATGTGAACGGCCCACTGCTATAGTTAATCCAGTGTGCGTGCTTATTAGCCTTGGAACAGCAATAAACTCGGAACTTTAAACTAGCACACAGGCGCATAACTTTGTTTGGTTGCAGCAGTCTGCTCCCGGCACTCGCTTAATGTCAGGTGACTCGCGCTCTGCACAGCCTTCAACTGCAGTTCGTGATGTATTGAACAGACACACGTCACTTCATAACTATATTGGCCGTTTTTCGACTGAACAAATAAAGGTTTTTTTGATGTCTTGGTCACACTATGTGGAGAGCCGGAACAAATTGCCGCCAATTGAATAGCCCTAATCTATGGTTTAAACTCACTGCCCATTGCATTAGTTCACCTGTTTAACTGCCCATTGCAAATATCAATTTAACCAATCACATTGCATGATCTCGCGAAAATATGGACCCAAATCTCTGAGCAATATTTCAAGCATCTTGAAGAATTTATTCCATAACAAACTTTAATTTACCTACAAGCGGTACGTAATATTATTTATGAATAAATTAAGCATTTTACCTTTATTATATATTCTTTTTATTGTTCTGTACAGCACTTTTATTCAGATTGATTGATTGATTGATTGATTGATTGATTGATTGATTGATTGATTGATTGATTGATTGATTGATTGATTGATTGATTGATTGAGAACATTAAATGTTTTATTTTGGATTTTTTTGTTTTATCCAACACAATACTTTTGCATGGGTGGACCTTCTAAGAATATTGCTTGTCTGATCAGTCACATGAACAGGAAGCAGTGAGTAGGCTACGAATTTTTTAGTTTTTTATAAGAAACAACTTAAAGCTCGGCAGGCAGCAGTGTAGTGCAAAGGCAGAGCGGAGTGGGTCACATGAGGGTTCAGACCTTGCTGCCGAGGGTGTCTTTGAGCTGCTCTTCTAGACTGTTCTTCAGGCGCTGGACACTCTCCAGCATCTGGCTCTTCTCTGCCAAGCTGCTCTCCAGCTGTTGTGAACATCAGCAGATCAGTCAACAAGGACAGAAGCAAAACAAAAAACAATCTACTTTAGAACAACAATTTGTCACTAAATCTGGTTCAGGGATTATTTCACCCCAATATAATTTGTGACCCTGCAGCAGAAAACCAGTCAAAAGAGTGTTTTTGGAAATTGATGTGTGGTTTATTAGGATAGGGCAATATTTGGCTCAGATGCAGCTATTTTAAGGATTAAAGAAATATAAATATTGAGAAAAATCACCTTTAAATTTCAGCAAATTTAGGTTATAGAGATGAAATATTTAGTTTTGATAGAATTATAGAAAAAAAAATGTACAAATTGCCTATATAACATTGTAATGGTTTTTGGTATAAAACCAAAATCAATAATTTTGACTTTAAACAAACCAATTATTTTTCAATAATTGATCATTTGGAATTTTTAAGTAAATTTTATTTCTAAACTAATTTAGAGGATTGATCACGCATAAACCAACTCATGAGTCACCATAAATAACCTAAGTTCCATAACACAGTCATCTTCATTCTGAATAATCCCTCCTTCCACCCTACTCCTCCTCCTTTCCTAGACGACGGCATGGCAACCCAGTGGTTGGCACTGTTGCCTAACAGCAAGAATGTCACTGGTCCTAGTCCTTACCAAGCCAGTCAACATTTTTATGCTGAGTTTACATGTTCTCCCTGTGCTCCCTTGGGTTTTCCCCGGGTTCCCTCACACCATCCAAAAACATTCGAAGTTAATTTACTAATCCAAATTGGCACCATAGACATGCTCCTAAGTAAGTAGTTATCTCTTCATAGCAATCCCTAAATGTTCATTAGCTACAAACAGCAGGGGAGTTCTTGAGATCTACCTGAGCTTACACTGCCCTCTCGCCCAGCAAATGGGAGGGAGCCCCGGGCTCAAAGATCTTATGAGCTCTTTCCTGGGACAGCATGCCAAACACACTTTTTAAGTAAACATTAGCGAAGTGTGAACTCTTGAAATACAATGCATTTTTGTAATTTTCTTCCCCCAAAAAAGTACTAGTGCAACATAACAGTGGTGTTTTGTGATCCAGGGTCACATATAACTAATAATGAGAGCAAAAACCGAACAATACCATTAATCTTTGCACTCATAGTTAAAAATTAAATATTGTAGAATTGTATTTTTAGACATAGCACTGCCTACCCCAATTCTAATTAATTTGGGATGCTGAAAACCAAAAATGAAAAACGATTGAAAAATATGAGTTAAAAAAGGCTTTGCTGTATCCGTTCAGTGAGTTAATTTGACTCCAGAGGAAATCACCATAGGGTGTGAAGACTGAACTGGACATGAAAATCATTGCACTAGGAAACCCATTTATTTCAATGGCTTGTGCCGCACAAGATGATTTGTTGCTGCACCGACCAATGCACAACAACAGTGAAGCAGACCATGAACTATTTTGCACAGGCGCCATGATAAAAGTTCAAAATAGCTCAATACTCTGCTCTGTGTATATTCTGCTCATGTACAAGTATACTTAGGCCCCATTTACACTGTCAGGTTTTGATGCCCAATTGCGATTTGTTGCCTATATCAGTGTTTTTGCCAGTCCGTTTACACATTCTTTTAATTGTGACCCATATCCAATGCATGGATTTACACTCGCTATGCAATTTACGACGTCTCGCATGCGTAAAGGCGGGTTCTAGCATCTGCGCCACACTAGCCATGATGGAAAAAAATTGTCTTGCTTTTAACTCTTCGAAGTTCAACCAAAACTAATATGATTTTGAGGCGGAGGCAGAGGGAAAGGGTCGATATCACAGCTTGTGCCTATGGTTTATATATGGTGTCCTCCACCATTCAGAGGAATTTGTGGGCACGAGAGAGATCTCAGGTCTGGTGGGAGTAAATTGTGGCAATTGACCACTTTTCTCCTCCTTTCCTCTGTTGTTGTTGTTTACCCTGTCGGCGTCTCCTCACACGATCTTCCTTCTACATCATTAAACCGTGGAGAAGGACCACATTGTTGCAAGTTTAATAACATACAAATCAGAATGCCTCAATAAATCCGATCTGCCCGTTTACATGATAGTCGAATTATAACATATTCAATTTATATCTGATTTATTTTTACACATATGAAGGAGGCCTGAAACCGATCTCTGAATATCCGGATGCATGTGTTTTTGTTCGTGTTTACACGTTCACAGAACAGATCCGATCTGTGTCACATAGGAGTGAAAAAATCTAAATTAGGTCACATTTAACTGGCAGTGTAAACAAGGCCTTATATATGCATGCATGAACCACACATGCTTACTGTAAAAGCAAAGTTTACTCAACAGACAACACAGAAAAGACATTTCTATTTAGTATACTTGTTCCTGCTGCTTTCGATATGATGAAAATAAAACCTACATAAAATAAATACAAATAAAGTTTGTTTGTGGAGTAAATAGGGGAAAACTAATGCCATATACAGTTGAAACCAGAAGTTTACATTGTATAAAAAGGCCACATAACCATTTAAAAAAAAAAGCCATATGTTAATGTGACTAAACTTTTCTCTTTTAGGTAAGTTAGGATTATCACATTGGATTCTGTTATGCTTAATAGCAGAGAAATGAGAGAGATAAATTTTGAAAATATTGTTACAACTTTTATTGAAAGTCAAGTTTACATACAATAAGATTATTATGCCTCTGAAAAAGCTCAGATGATGGTGTCATGGTTTTTGAAGTTTCTGACTGGCTAATTGACAACATTTGAGTTAATTGGATGCACAACTGTAGAATAGTATTTAAGGAAAACCTCAAACACACTGCTTCCTTGTGACAATATGAGAAAATCAACAAGCCAGAATCAACAAAAAAGCCAGTTTACAATTTGCTAAATTACACTCTGAAAAATAATTTTTGGAGACATGTCCTGTGGTCTGATGGAACTAAGATTGAGCTGTTTGGCCATAATGACCAGTGTTACATTTAAAGGAAAGCTTAGGAACACCATCCCAACTGTGAAGTATGGGGGCGGCAGCATCATGTTGTGGGGCTGTTTTGCTGCAGGAGGGACCGGTCCACTTTAAAGCATAGATGGCGTCAAATAACATTATGTAGAAATACTGAAGCAATATCTCAAGACATCAGCCAGGAAATTAAAACTTGGCCAAAAATGGGTTTTCTAAACAGATCATGACCCTAAGCATACTGCCAAATTAGTTAAAATGTGCTTTAAGGACAACAGAGGGAATGTTTTGGAGTGGCCATCACAAAGCCCCGAGCTCAATCCTATTGAAAAAGTTGAAAAAGCTTGTGTGAGCAAGACAGCCAACAAATCTGACTCTATTACACCAATTCTGTCAGGAGGAATGGGCCAAAATTCCTGCAAACTATTGTGAGAAGCTTGTGGAGGGATACCCAAAACATTTGACCAATGTTATACAGTTTAAAAGCAAAGCTTAAAAAATACCAAGAAAATGTATGTAAACTTTTGACTGTCTGGAAATCAATAAAAAAATAAAATAAAAAATAAAAAAACTGTTCTCATTTTTCTGGCATTTAGCAAATGTAAATCATTTAGGTAATCCTAACGGACCTAAAATAGTAAACGTTTAGTATGATTTACCATCAGACAATTAAAAAAATGGTTATGTTCCTTTTTTTTAGAGAGTGTGTAAACTTCTGGTTTTAACTGTATACATATGACTTGCATATCTGTGTTCTTTCCTACCTGTTCCTTCTCACTCTTCACTCGTTCCAGTTCCGTCTTTAGGCTGGAAAAAGATGCTACAGGATGGAAGAAAGACAAAAACAAAAAGTCACATGCTGTAGTAGTGTTTGGCAGTTTTTTTTTTTTACTTTTGATAACAACAATATTTAGCTTTATCTTTATCCTAGGGCTTAGTGGCCACATACGTGGACAGCACATTTTAACTCTTATGTCTTATATTTTGTTACAGACATAAAGTGTCATCCTGAAACTGTTTTGCAGCATATGAAATGTCCCAAACACTATTTTAACCGTCCAAAAATGGGCAAATAATTTTTTTTTACTGACAGTCAAAACATGTTCAAAAAATGTGTGTATGTGTTATTAATGTATTAAAACAGTCAGGAAAAAACTGCTGTATTCAAGGCAGAAATAAAGAGCGTTTCATTTGGTTACACAAAGGTGAATTTATTGTGTTTTATGGAAGTTCAGACCACGAGTCCACATATATGGACATCATTTTTTTCTACAAGTACATCATATCAAAGGATGATACTTAGGTGTTATTCTAATTAGATTTTAATGAGCCCAAATAGCAAAGAGAAAATAAAAATGCATGTAAAAGAATAGCTTGGGCCTCAAGAGGTTAACTTTAGCTAAAAAGCTCATTTGCATTTAGAAGTCATTAGTTAGGAACACTAGTTAACATGATCCAACAATGAACTGCACTTCTACATCATTTAAAAATCTGAAGCTTAATGTCTACATTTACTAAAAATACACAGCTAAATATATATTTTTATATAACATTAGTTAATGCACAATGGACTAACATGAACAAGCAATGAGCAGCTGTATTTTATTAAGGTTAATAATGTTAGATTGTGTTAGTTAAGCTAGCTAGTGAACAGCAGAGTGATTTTAACTAACATTCTACCTCATGTCCTTGACTTTACTACATACAGTATAGGGGAATTACTAACTTACGTGACACGGGTTTAACCGAGCATTTAAAAAAAAAAAAAAGTCTTTTAAAAAAATACTGGTTGCAATAGCAAACTTGTCGTGTTGTGCAGTAGGATGCCAAAATCGAAAGTCCTAAAACGTAAATTTTACCATACACCACACTGCTTTTAATGCCAACAGCAGACGTTTTTGCTTAACAGCCATCAGAAGAGCTGAATGAAGTGACGACCTAATTAAAAATGCTTGACTCTGCAGTTCTGAATTCATATCAGGCAAGTTCACGCTATGCTGAGTCATACACATTACACGATTTTTGATCGCAGCAATGATTTCAGCAATAATAGTTAAATATGGTTAATTAAACTATAATTGTGTGTGTACACATACATATCGTGTGTATCGTGTGTATACACATATATATATATATATATATATATATATATATATATATATATATATATATATATATATATATACACACGATTTCGATCGAGTCTGAAACCACATGATCTGGCCTGATTTCTGATCATGTGATCGGATCTGGATATCCCTAATAAATTTTGCTTGGATGTTTTGGAGACACGACGGTGTATTTGTTTATATATAAATACATTTTTAAACGCTGCTGTCAACTTTACCTATAAAAAGCTTCAATGCGGGAAAAAAAAGAAAGGAACTCCAAAAAAAATGTTGACCATAATTAAAATGAATCCTTAGTAGCTTGACATCAGTTTCAAAGCAGCTTCAAAACACTGACGCAATGAAGTATGCAGACAATATTTCGAATGAATAATGTGGAGTGACATTTCCATTATATAATGCATATTTGCAGCAGCATGAGCGCATCACATTTCATTTCTCTGGCTTGAACCCAGTCACGTGATGTTATTTCATTAGCATTAGTACAGTACGCATCTAAATGAAGCAGTACGTAGCGAAGTGGATGTGATGAGAAACAGTGCTGATGCATGGGTTTAGCGAGTGTGTTAGGATGACATCTGTGGTGCCACTACAGACATACACGACCTACACAAACACACACTCAGGCAGAGGTTCGTACCTTCCAGGATGTCTGAATACAAGGGCACCAATTCAGGGAGAAGAAGCGGAGGAGAAAAACACAGTATTGGAATTGAAACACGAGAAGGAGATATACAGATAAATGTGTTGTGCATTCCTCTGGCTCACAGAGTTTAATGATGTGAATCAGTTTTGTTGAAAGCCAGATGAAAGGAGCAATGCTTCAAAAAGAGTAGTTGGATTTGGTTGGATTTTTCCAAACAGCTGAAGACTCGTATTTCAAAGTCTCAGCGAAAGCCAGTGCAAACATTCACTGCAGTCGAGAGAGGCTTTTAATCATTAAAGTTAAAGGGGGGTGGGATGGACAATCTTATATCATATTTTCATTTAATGTTAATGTGATTTTTAAAGATTTGTTATAAATTTTTTGGATTAAAATTCAATTGAGAAGGGTTATTATGATTTTAAAATATTAACTTTATAAACGTATTATTGTTTACTGCTAACTAATGTAATAAATTAATGTTTTCTAAGAAGAATTAGAAATTTTATACAGTAATATTATACAATTATTAACCCTCCTGCAGTTGTATTTTAAAAATATTTCCCAAGTGAACAAAAGCAAGAAACGTTTCATAGTACTATTTATTTTTTAGCTAGATTTTTTCCTGCAGAATTTCTTATTTCTTTTAGTTTGGCTGTAAAAAGTAAAATAAAATAAAAATAAAACAAAATGAACAAATAAATAAAATGTTAAATTTAAAAACTGCTAAGGTCAATATTACAAGTTTTTTTTTTTTTTTGATTGGCTACAGAATAAACCACTATTGTTCAATGCCTCATTATCTTAACTTGACTAATTCACCTATTGAGGCCTTCAAATTGAAAAATGCGAATACTAGTATCTTGCAAAAATATAAGTAGTAAAATTATTTTTATTCTAAAACTATGGCTTAAAAAATGTGTTGAATGTATGATGTGTAAACATCTTTCCGTTAAATAGCACATTTGGAAATATTTGAAAAAGAATTCAAATATCACAAAAGTGGTAATAATATCATCTTCAACTGTATGCAGCAATTAGAAGCAAATGAATATATTGCTGTATGCAGCAATATGCAGCAAACTGAACAATTAGATTATTTAAAATCTATAAATAAGTCCCAAGTCAGTGCAAGAATGAATATATATTCATTAGTTATATAATTATATAATTAGGTAGAATAAATTATTATATAATTAGGTAGAATAAATATAAGCACACTGGATGGATGGATGGATGGATGGATGGATGGATGGATGGATAGATGGATAGATGGATAGATGGATAGATGGATAGATGGATAGATGGATAGATAGATAGATAGATAGATAGATAGATAGATAGATAGATAGATAGATAGATAGATAGAATAGATAGATAGAATAGATAGGATAGATAGATAGATAGATAGATAGATAGATAGATAGATAGATAGATAGATAGATAGATAGATAGATAGATAGAATAGATAGGATAGATAGATAGATATATGTTTGTGTGCCAAATCAGCAAAAACACCACTCAAATGTTGAAATATTATTATAAGCTTATTGTAAACAGGGCTAAAATCATTTTAGGTCATTTTTAACCAAAACAAAAAGTTATGGGCTGCCTGTTTAAAATAGATATTGGCAAGTTTTTTTGTGCAGTCAATAAGAAAAATATCAATCTAAAAACCAGGAGTGGGGGGCAACATGTCCCCATCTCAACCAGTGATTCCCTAAATCTCTCATTCAGTTGATTCGTTTAAGAAGGCTAATTCATTTAGAAATTAAGCAAATGACAGTTTATGAAAGGATCACTGATTCATCGACTCAAATAACTATACATGCCAAAAATACTATGGAAGTTTGGTTACCAAAATTCTTCAAAATATCTTCTTTTGTGTTTAACAGAAGAAAGAATTTAAAACAGAAACAACTTAAGGGTCAAAAACTCGAACTATTGTTGATCTAGATTTCTTTGACTATCCATCTGAATGGAGATGCCAGTCCACTCACCGATCTCTTCTTTACAGCCCTCAATCTCCAGCTGTAGAGTGTCCTCCAGGTTCTCTTTGAGGCACTGCTCCGCCTGGATCTGCTCCTTCAGGAACAGAATTTCAGCCTTCAGCTTCTCCTCTAAATGCTCGGCTGCTGTGCGTGCAGAAACAATGTCCTCCCTGTACTGCAACACCAGCTTCTGAAGTTCCTGGGTGGAAAAACTAAACTTCAAAAATGTGGCCAATTATCAATTTCACACATTTCCAACATTGTGAAATTCTTACAGTAAATACACAGCATTGACCTTATTCTGTAATGTGTAAGAGCGCTCGTTTTTGTGATTGTTTTAGAACAGGGATGTCAAACTCAATTCCTGTAGGGCCGCTGCCCTGCAACGTTTAGTTCCAACCCTAAGTAAACACACCTGATTAAACTAATTGAGTACTTCAGGCCTGTTTGAAACCTACAGGTAAGTGTGTTGGAGCAGAGTTGGAACTAAACTGTGCAGGGCTGCGGCCCTCCAGGAATTGAGTTTGACATCCCTGCTTTAGAACTTCTGATTCAGTTGCCTAGGGAAGAAAAGACTAGGAAAAATAAACTGTAGAAAACGGTCAAACTACTTGCTCTACAAATAAGTGTGTTCATGACTATACATAAAAAGAAAATAATTAGAAAATATCAGTTTGCAATATCAATAGCATAATGAGCTGAAAATTAATGGAAGTGAATGAGACCGAAAGTCTCAAGCAAAAAAGTTTCCAATGGCTTCGCCCTCTCATACATCAAGAATTAGGTCAATAAGGGGCCATTTACACAACGTTATCAGTCAAAACCAAGAAGATTTTTGAGTGTTTTGCCTGTTTGTTTACATGACAACAGATTTTTTGTTTTTGTTTTGTTTTTACTGAAAATTCTGAAAACCTGTTTTAAAGTGGAAGTTTTACAAAACGGCACAGTTTTTTTTGTCTATGTAAACAACTGTGAAAATGATGTTGCATGTGTTCAGGGGAGCGTTTGCTATCAAGGTGACAGCCAAATACTGTTGTGTATACATATAGTTTTAACAATGTTTTGTAAATGTTGTTTTTAAAAATGCAACAACTTTTCAACTTAGACGTTTGGGTTAAACGTAACCCAAGTTATTAGTGACTGGAGGTCACTAGGGCTGGGCGGTATATCGAGTTCTGGGGAAATATCGATATGATTCCTCAACGTGATGCGGGATTATCCAATATCTTTCATATTGATATGGTTTAAGGCCACAAGTGCGCATTCTGTGTGAGGTAGCACACAAATTCCACTTGCACAAATGAGCACATGCGCAAATTATTGATTCACTCCCTGAGTCATACAAAAGATTTGTTCAAAATGAATAAATTGTTCAAGAACAACCCATCACTGAAGCGACATGGAGGAATATGCAGTGTTCCTTTTATCCATAATTTCTTTCGCAATTGACAGCAGGAACGAACATAGAAGCCTTGTCAAATTGAAAAGCAGCACCTGAGTTCTGTGTTCTAAAGAATTAAAAACGCCAAAATGGAAGGAATTTATACCACATTTCGAAAGTGAAACCACCTCATTTTCACTGATTATAAGTTCAGGATAGGGTTGTGACGATGAGGAAATTTCCCCACCGGTTAATCGACATGTGACAACACCGGTAATACCGGTATCACCATGGGAGTGGGCGTTTCTTCTTTTTCTCTTTTTTTTCTGCTTTTAAATAGCTTATAAATGCGTGCGTATAAAACTTTCACTTTCAGTTTTGCGGGACTTGCCAATTCGGCGTCAATTGTTTGAATGGACGAAAAGGAAACTACAAAAAAATAAATAAATAAATCACTGTTATTAAACAACACATACCTTTTATTAACATAACGAATAAAACACAACAATGCTACAGGCTGAAAAACTGTGGAAGTTGGAACCATACAAATAACAATAAAAGGCGTCTTACACTGTCACTGGCGGAATACACAGCAGTGGCAAGACGTTTTATTTTTTGTTTTATTTGTTGCAGATTTGCGTGTTGTTCCTTTTTTAAAATACCCTTTAATTTTTAAAATCTCTCAAGTTAATGTTGTCTATCGAGTAACATAATCTCCCTCAGATTGGAGTTCAGTGCGCAGTAAGACTATTGACCAACACCGCTCTGTAAGTTTACACACTGCATACTGTAGGTCCACAGCTCTGGTGTGGTATGAATTACATGTTTTAAATGACAGCGAGACATGCTACGTTTGGTTTTTATTGTAAAATATACATTAATACCAAGTACACAGTAAAATAATGTTTTGAATGGCTTGTCTATTGGCGGCGTATATAGCCATTAAATTTAAATAGGATAAGCGTATTTTCATTAATATTAAAACACATTAACACAAACTAGCCATCCTTTGATTTTTTTTTCGTTTACGTTTATTTTTATCAAACGAAAAATGCAATGAATTGTTTATTTTGTTTTTCATTTTATTAGAATTTTTATTTATGAATTTTGTATTTATGGCCATTGATCTATCCGCGACCCATATGTATAAATTAGTTGTGTTTCCTCTAGATGCTGCCACCTTTGTCAGGCAAAGTTTGCAGATTGCCTCATTAACGTCTTCAGGTTCTCTTTTTGCATTTAGTTTGAACCCAAAATATTGCCAAACAGGTGCTTTTGCATTGCGTTTTGACACTAAATTGTTCGCCATCCTCTTTCTGTAAATTCGCCTCTTTTCTCCTCACGTGATAATTGAAATATGACACATTGTAGCTATGTTCAGATTTTAATTATAGAGCATGCTCTCGTCTTAAGTCAATTATTATAATTTTCCATTTAATTCAAATAAATATTTAATAAAAAATAAAAAATAAATACTTAAAAAAAAAAAAAAAAATTGGGTGGAAAAAGTGATGTCACTGGTGTTGCGTCTTAAAACCGGTATCAATGTCAACAACGTCTATCGTGGCAAGCCTACTGTATATGCCTATTGCGTATCCATAATACACTGTGATATAGCCTGGCTCGATTCTTATTGCTTTCTCACTACAACCGATCTGCTCCAGAGTTTGTTTCAATCGAGCTGAGACCAACTCATTCAGGCGATCTCAGACCAATTGTTTTGGCGTGAATCAGAGTGCGATTGCTGGATTAACATATACCAAATGAACCGAGCTAACTGGTGAAACGCCTCGAGCTCCGAAACAAAAGTCTAGGTGTGAAAGCACCCTTAATATTTACATAAAAAATGTCTTAGCAATGATGATATTTTAAATGTCTCATTCCAAAATTCATGTGTAATGAACTTTAATACAATTCCTAGAATTTAATACTGGTAACATTTAAATGGGTTTCGGAAAATATTGATAAAATGTGCTTCATTTGTCATAGATTTTGTACAAGATTTTAATTAAAAAATTTTAAATAAGGAATTTCTCTTTTTCTTGTTCAGTTTTTGACAGCAACACAGTACAATTGTTAAATTTAAACATTTTTAAGAACCTATGTTTGTTTTAAGTACCTTTCCAGGCCTTGAACCCATATGTCTGAAATTCAAGTACTTTAGAAGCATGGAAGCCCTGTCAATGGAATTAAATAGGAGCCATTTTAGAGGTATAAACCACACATGCAGTGAAGTACCTGTACAGTGGTCGGCATGTGAAAGTCCTCTTGCTGCTGCAGTGTCATGTGAAGTCTGTGTTTGCCCTGAAGACTTTCATTATCTCTCTGCAGTCTGTTCAGCTCCTCAGACACCTGCTCTCTGGACTGTAGCAGAACAGCCTGGAAACACACACACACACACGCACTCAGACCACTTAACCTACAAAACCCACTGCAAGCCACAAATGTTTTTTAAAGCATACATTCAAGTGGAAAACGATCCATTATAAACAAGGATTTTCAACTAAATCTGCCAATGAAAACATGAGTGTGACCATGAGAGATTCACCAAGCATTCTTTAGCTAATAACTAACCGACAGAACCCTTTCCAGGGCGATTTATTCCACTTCAGCATCTTAAATAATGATAATGCACCTTCAGATTTCATCCAGATGTGCCTTAAGTGAGCGCCAGAGATGATGAACTCCACCCAAAACAATACTGACCGCCAAAACACACTTTCATGCATTAGTACAAGTCACAAAAAACAAACAGGACTACATGTACAACTGAAGCCCATTATTCGACCTCCTGTGAATTTTCTTTTTCAAATGTTTCCCATATGATGCTTAACATAGGAAGGATTTTTTACAGTATTTCCTATAATCTTTTTTCGTCTGGAGAAAGTCTTGTTTGGTTTATTTCAGCTAGAGTAAAAGCAGCTTTTAATTTTTCTCTTTTAATTTTAAAGTCTATCTCCTCCTAAGCCTTCCAAGCTATATCCTTCTAACTTTCCTCAGACCTTCAAACTGGTCTGACTCTGGTTGCTATATCTTTTCCAACTGATCCGACTTTCAGTTTTCCAAAAAAAATGACCCAGAAAATTCCGAAAAGTGCCATTGACTTAACATTGGGTCAAACTTTGAGAGCTCATAACTCTTTATCAGACTGTCACACAGCCTTAAGAATATAAGGCTTTCCACCATAGCCACCATAAAGTTTGTCCTGAAACTTTACTATGCAGTTAAAACTATTATGTTTAGAAATGTGCTGAAATAAATCTTCTTTCCCGTTAATATACAAATACATTTGAGGGTTAATCATTCAGGAAGGCTTCAGTAAATAGAGCAGTTTTGTGGCATGAAAAAAAACCACATGCTCTGGTTGAAATTAATGAAGCAAAATGAGTAAGTGTTTTTGCTTGTACCATCTGTTCCTGGGTGTTCCTCTTGGCCTGGCTGAAGGCCTGTTGGAGAGCGCTGAAGAGAGACTCCGACTCCTGAACTTTCTGCTTCAGCTCCGAGATCTGTGTGCCAGATTAATGAAAATTAAAGCATTGTTTCACTTAGAAGAACGGCAACATTAAGAGCAGTCCGTGCATTCTTCAAATTTAAACAATGGCTTTGTTCTAGCTACCGGTGAGCTGCTTAGGTAGTCACTATTTTTAGAAAACAAATATTTGATGTTTCCAAACTGTAAGCTGCAAAGCCATAGTGCCTTATACAGTACAATGCCGATACTGTAAGGTACAAAGAAGTCTCTTATGCTTAAGTAGTGCTATTGAGATGATAGTTATTTTAAATTAATTATAAATAATAGAATAGTTAATTAACATTGCAAAAAAAGAATAGAAAAAAAAAGTAATTTAGCTTATTAATTATCTTACATTTCTAATGTCAATATGATTTTATTTTACCTATTTTAGTACAACCCCAAATAAGAAAAAGTTGGGACAGTATGAAAAATGCAAATAATAAAAAAAGAAAGTAGTAATTTCCAAATTTACCTTGACTTGTATTTCATTACAGATAATATGAACAAAATATTTCAACTTCATATAATTTTAAAGTATAAATCATTTCCTGTCATTCAGATCTGAAACACATTCCAAACAAAAGTTGGGACAGTTTAGGGCTAGTAATCGGGTAAATTGGTTAAATAATGATGTGATTTGAAATGGCTGATGTCAACAGGTGTTTGCAATTATGATTTGGTACAAAAGCAGCGTCCAAAAAAGGTCTAATTTATTAGAAAGAGAGATGGGCTGAAGATCGCCAGTTTGCCAACAAATACATGTGAAAATTATGTTTAAAAACAATGTTCTTCAAAGAAAGACGGGAAAACATTTGGATATTTCACCTTCATCAATGCAGAACATAATTAAAATATTTAAGAAATTTCAGTGCATAAAGGATAAAAGGCACAAGCCTAAGCTGAACAACCATGAACGCGGACCTTTCAGGCGGCACTGCATCATGAATCCTCATTCATCTATAAGCAATATCATGACATGGACTCAGGACATCTTAGGCAAATCTTTCTTAAGTACTACAATATGCAGTCCACAAATGCCAGTGAAAACTGAACTGTGCCAAAAGGAAGCCCTATGTTAACGCTGTCCAGATGCTCCGTCACCTGCTCTGGGCTTGGAAACATCTGGGATGGTCCATTACACAGTTGAAACGTATACTGTGGTCAGATGAATCAGTATTTCAGGTATGTTTGGGGAGAAATGGGCACCGTGTGCTACGGACCAAAGAAGAAACAGATCCAGCAAGTCCAGAAGCCAGGGTCTGTCCTTATATAGGGTTGTGTCAGTACCCTTGACAAAGGTAACTTGCACTTCTGTGATGGCAATAAATATGTTGAAATATGAAATAATGAAATATGTTTATTTAGAAAAAAAATAATAATAAGAAAAAGAAAACAAGAAAAATGATGAGGAACACATTAATCAATGTTTGTTTATACTGCAATGAAATACAAGTCAAAGTAAATTTAAAGGTAACTTTAAAGATGACATTTTTTTGTTGTTTTATTTTTTCATACTCTCGTAAATTTTACTGATTTGAGGTTGTACATCAATTTAACAAAAAATAAAAAAACAACAAAGTGAAATATTAATTAAATCTAAACTGATAGTTTCCTATTTGAGTACATTTTAAAATTAAATTTATTCTTGTGATGTCAATTTTCAGCATCACTGTTCTTAAATCTCAAATGATCCTTAGAAATTATTATAATATGTTAATTATGTAATCTATAATATTTTTGGTTCAAAGGACGGTGGGTGAATCCACCCAGGATATTTTAAAGACATATATTTTATTCAATTATATTTATTCAATTTTTTCTAAATCTTATTCTAATTCGTACATTTTAAGAAAAATTATGAGTGCTGTGGGAAAATATGCATCATGCAAAAAGCCAAATTTAAACAAGCAAAAAAAAAAAAAGCATTATTAAGTCGTGATGTGTTAGTATGTTAATTTAACGTTTGGATCCTGCAAGAAATATATTATGAAGACACAGCATTATTGTATCTTTCTCAAAGCATTACTGAACTTTCTGCACTGAGTAGGACGTGATAACATCCAGTTTTGTCAATGCATTTGTGCTTCACTAAAGAGAGATGAGTTTCACCTTGGCAGTAGTGTCCTCATTGGCCTGTTTGACCGAATCCTCCAACTCCTGTTTCTCATTCATCGTCCGCTCCAGCTGATCATTCGCCTGCCGCAGGATGGCCTGTAGCTTTTTAACCTACGGCAAAGAAAGGAAAAAAGGAAAGATCACTGTAGAAACATGACCAGAGCCTGTCCTTTTCAATAGTTTCACTACACTTTTGTGTGATTTACTTAAAGACCTGATTTTGAAGCCATAGAAGCACCAACCTGATCTCGTGTCTCGGCCTCTTGTCCCTGGATGACCTGCAGTTGTTTCTCGTAATTAGAGCACATGTCACATCGCCGGCCCAACTTCCTTCCAGCGTTCTTCAGCTGAGGTCAAACCACACCAACACAAACACACATGTTGAATTAAGACTTCAGATATCTCATCTGCGCTGAATATTTCAAACAAGCGTATGCTTCACTGTGCATGTGTATTTGAACAAAAATTCAAAACAATAGCATTTTAACAACCCATTCACACGGGGCTTCAGCATCAACGCTTGACAGCGAGCATAGAAGCGTCAGCTAATGAAAGCAGTCAGCAATCGGCTACTGTCTGAGCTGGTGTATTTGCATACAGCGATCTGATTGGCTGACACTTCCATCTGCGCTTGAAAAGTTGAGAAAGTCCCAACTTTTGCAGCGAGCGGCACCACCAAAGAGCATAGAATCACCAAGAGGCGACACTCTAGTGCGATTTGGGAAACAGCCACTAGATGCCACTAGTGTAATGCGGCGGCCATTTTGGAATGAAAATTCCAATAGAACAACAGCATATTATAAGCAGTTTGGAATCACCAAGAGGCGGCACTGAATAGAATGTTCCATTGCAACAGCAGCGCCCAGCAACAGCCCCAGATTCCGCCATTTTGGAGTGAAAGCGATCGGCCATCCATTGGATCTTATTGCTGTCGCGATGGCAAGCAGCTGCTTTGTTTTTCTATTTGTTTGTTTGAAAAGTGCATTAAAGCTGAGATACAATCTGAAAGAAGACAATACAACACTTACTGTCACAATCATCAGCACTTTTAATGGTTTATTTTACAGACTTATAATATGCTGTTGTTCTATTGGAATTTTCATTCCAAAATGGCCGTCGCGCCATTTAGTGGCTTATTCCCAAATCACACTAGAGTGTCACCTCTTGGTGATTCTATGCTCTTTGTTATAAGTATAAGGGAGGATCAGGCCTTTAATGTTTACTGCCATACTTCATAGAAAGATTAAAAATACGGGAGAAATATGGAAAAATATCTTAATAGGATGATAGTGGGACAGAATTGTAAAACACAGGAGAATCCTGGGAAAAATGGGAGGGTTGACATGTATGTAATTGTCCCAAATTCCATTCCACATCTCTGCACAGTTAAGCTCCAACTCACACCAGCTTAATAATTTCTAGTAGTCTTGAACAGCTTGATTAGTTAAATCAGGTGTGTTTAATTAAGCAAAACTGTGCAGAGCTGTGACCCACCAGGAATTGAGTTTGAGAACCATGAGTGTGTTGTGATGGTTCAGCTTAAATATCCCACAAATATTTTTTTTATACCTCTTTAAAATTGCCTAATTTAGGCACAAAATGTGCCATTTTTAAATTCAAATGAGCTAAAATCAACTGTGCACCAGAATAGCAGCAGATTCAAAACAGGACTAACGTTATCTCTGTACAAAACTGAAAATGATAAAAGAAGAGGCTCAGAAGAAGGCAGTCTATGGAGACTAAGGTGTTCATTTGTGCATCCTAACACTCCACATTTATAATACCTCTTAAGTCATTGACAATATCTTCAACAGGTATGGTGAACACTCTAATAGCAAACGGCGGGGCTTTCCCCCTCTGATGACACGTACAAAGGGTTGAATGTCAAAGTGTTTCTGCAGACTGTTTTTATCAAGTGTGTTTATAAAAAAAAGCGGAAGAATACATTTTAACTATTAGTAGCTGGATAGTCGCACACTGTCGCCACCTATTTGTGTTTAAACCCCTCGTAAAAGTGATTTTTTTGCAGAATAGGTCCCCTTTAAATATACTCAAACACTATCTGACCTCCTGCTGCAGAAGATTCCACTCGCTCTCGCTGACCAACCGGTATCCAGATGGGGGCAGGTAAGCTGTATCGGCTGTGTGAGAAATACTAGACAGAAGCGATGCGGTCTCCTCCTGCTCTGGGGTCATGGCCTTAATGGCCTTTTCTTGGTCCTTAGTGAGGAGAAAATGTCCCGGCTGGAGGGAAGAAATGGAGGAGGTGTCCATACTGTCAAAGCCCCCACAGTCTGCACCCACTAGAGGACCAAAGTCTGACTCGTCCAGCTGGCTGGCTGACTTGGCCTTGTTGTTGTGTCCGCCCAGGCCGTGAGGCTGTAAGGATCCTCCTGAAGAACCCAGGCTGTCTGTAGACTGGACCCTCCGAAGACCATCCTTATAAGGGTCAGAGCTGTCCGGGCGGCCAGGGGTGTCTGCGTCCAGAGAGTGCAAAGAGCTGTGAATACTGTGACTGAGGTGAGACTGAGATCAGAAGGAGAGAGAGAGAAAGAGAGAGAGAAAGAGAAAGAGATGAGCTGAAACAACTGCTGCAAAACAAGCTTTTAAAGGATAGTTCACCCAAAACTGAAAATTCTGTCATCATTTACTCAACCTTTACCTGTTTAAAACGCGTTTCTTTCTTTGGTTGAATACAAAAAAAAGAGATTTTGAAAAATGTTGGAAACCTGTAGGACTTCTATAGTATTTGTTTTTCCCACTATGGAAGTCAATGGTTACAGATTTTCAGCTTTTCTTTAAATCAAAATATCTTCTTTTGTGTTTAACAGGAAAAAAGAAAAGCTCATGAAGGTTTGAAACCACTTGAGGGCAAGTACATTTTAATTTTTAGGTGAACTATCCCTTTAAAATTTTAAAATAAAAAACATGTTGGCACTTTACAGATGTCATGTAGTCGCATTATTTCCCATTTTTTTCACAAGGGATTTAATAACTCACAGTGAGCCAAAATCAATTAAAATGTAATCAGTTGGGTCGCTAACCTAATTGGAGTTCATGCTTTGAACAGAGGGCATTGTGTTGACAGCAAACTCGCTACACATGCAAAAAAAGTTGTAGCAGATATGGCCCGTTTTCACTGAGTGGTACGGTACGCTTTTATGGCCCTTTCCACTGTCAAAGGGTACCAAAAAAGCAAATTGTACTGTACCATTTTTTGGTTACCTTTTGTAAAGGGTACCTAGCATTACAAAAGGGTACCAAAAGGCAGAGTTGGACGTGCAGCTGAATGCTATTGGTATTACAAAGATACGTTACCCGCACGTGGACAAGCAGGAGAATGAAAACAAAGAAACCGTCATTTTTAAAAACACAGCCGAGAAATTACACTGTAATAATATATACAAAAAATAATTAGCCATTGTTGACCCATGCTTAAATAAACTGTCATCGTCATGATGAACAGCCACAAAGCTAAAAAGAAGAGAGAGAGAGAGCGAGAGAGAGAGATCGCTGCACATCTATATTTGAAATAATGAACTTCTTGAGCTGATGATCATAACAAGCGCTTGATTATTGAAGTGCTTCTGACATCTGATCCTTTCAGAAACGGACAAATGCGAGTGAAGAGCAAAAAAACAAAGATGCAATTGATTGTTTCAGTAACCTAAACCATGAACAAACTGCCATGTTTAACTATTATCATCACCTTTTGGACTATTATGAACTCATTTATAATGTTCATAGAAAGGTTAGTAATGAACAGTTATACAGAAGTATTTGTATGAATAAAGTATCTTTTCTGTGAGAAGTGCTTCTCATATGATATGTGACCAACCTGTTTTTCCTCAAGCAAGAATGACGTCGACTGAAACTTTGTCGTACACCACGCATTGGTACCATTTTGGTAGTGGAAACGCAAGTCTGATAAAGGTGACTAGTACCAACCCGTACCATACCACTCAGTGGAAACGGGCCAATGGTGGCAATCCACAATCCTCAATCTAATCAGGGAAGTGCTGGCCTGCAGAAGACAGATGTCTGGCCCACATAGCTACACAGGCAGCATGACATACCACTTTATGTTCTTTGTTTGCTCTCCTTCAATTAATACGTTTTAACTCAATTGTAAAAAGTGGTGGAGATGATGTGCACTGAAGCGGAGATCACTACACATTATTATTGTTATTATTATGTCTGCTCATCCCTATTTGTTGAGTACTCTCCACTTCAGTGTAAAGTCATCTTAGCTTTTTCAACTTTTTTTTTATTACCAGTGTTACAAATTAAATCAATGACAGCAAAGTGCTAAAAGCATTATATTAAATTATACAAAATTATTATTATTTACAGTGCATCCGGAAAGTATTTATAGCACTTCACTTACTGCCAAAAAAATATTGTCTTGCAGCCTTATTCCAAAATGGATTTAATTAATTTATTTCCTCAAAATTTTTTGGAGAAAACCAGGCACCGCTGATTACCAAGCTAATACAATCCCTAAAGTAAAGCATGGTGGTGGCAGGATCATGCTTTGGGGATGTTTTTCAGCAGCAGGAACTGGAAGAATAGTCAGGATAGAATGAAAGATGAATGCAGCAATGTACAGAGACATCCTGAATGAAAACCTGTTTCAGAGTGGTTTTGACCTCAGACTGGGGCGAAGGTTTATCTTCCACCAGGACAATTACGCAAAGCACACAGCTAAAATATCAATGGAGTAGCTTCACAACTCTGTGAATGTCCTTGAGTGGCCAAGCCAGAGCCCAGACCTAAATTCTATTGAACCTCTCTAGAAAGATCTGAAAATGGCTGTACACTGTCGCTTTCCATCCAACCTGATAGAGCTTGAGAGGTACTGGAATAGGCAAAAATTCCCAAAGACGGGTGTGCCAAGCTTGTGGCATCAAATTCAAAAAGACTTGATGCTGTAATTGCTGCCAAAGGTGCATTAAAGTATTGAGCAAAGGCTGTGAAAACTAATGTACTTTTCAGTTTTTTACATTTAAAAAAATTCGCAACCATTTCAAAAAATATTTTTTCATATTGTCATTATGGGGTTTTGTGTGGAGAAATTTGAGAAAATAAATTACTTTAATCCATTTTGGAATAAGGCTGTAACAAAAAAATGTGGAAGAAGTGAAGTGATATGAATACTTTCTAGAGGCACTGTGTATACTGTACATAATAAATCATAGATAAAAATAATATATATATATATATATATATATATATATATATATATATATATATTTTTTTTTTTTTTTTCTTATCAGCTGAGTACATTAAAAACGTGCAGAGATTTCTGCTTTTGCTTGAGATCTTAGTTCTTTTGCTTTTGTTTTATTGACTATTTATTTGATTTGGATTTTATTTTAAAATGGCATTTGTTTTTATTTTACAAAGAAAAGTGCAGCATTTGAAAAATAATAAGAGCGCTTGCTCATTTCTGAGGTCTCGACTCATTTTGATTAAAAAATATATCGTGAAATTAGTATTCCAAATGTGAATCAATACATCCCTAATTATCACTGTATTTACTTTAGTTTAGAAAATGGTAATAAAATATGACAAGAACCGAGATCTTGATATTGTCAGATAGATTGATAGAAAGGTACACTGTAATGGAATAAAATCAAACTTAAATAATTCAGACAACAGTTAGTATGACAATATTTACAAAGTTATCAACACAAAAATTACTGGTTGAGCTATACATTATCGATTAACAAAAAACGAATAGCCGCTGATTAGCTAAAACTTACTAAATTACATTAATTGAAATATGTGTTTGTTTTTTGATATCATCCCTGTATTGCACTCATACAAGTTTTGCACTAATACCTCTTCTATGGAGAGTCCAAGCAGCGAATCCTCCACTGCTTCCGCATGCTCCGTCCCATCATCCTCACTGGCCTCTTTAGCTTGACTCAATCGCTCCTGCTCATCCTCTTCCTGGACAAATAAATAAAAGTAGGAATAAATGCCATAATAACCCTGCAAACTATGCAGGTGCAGTGCAGTAATGCATTGAGACAAATTCTTATTACCTCTCATTTAGATGATTCACCCAAACATAAAACTCCTGCCATCAATACTCAACTTTAATGACTACAGGACATCAGTAATCAAATTAATCTCAATAAGAGAATAATGTGATTAAGGTGTTTACATGAGTTGCTTTCTGAATGTTTCTTTCATGATCCCGTTTTTTTGAAGTGGTGTTAGTGAGGCCAGCAGGGGGCGCTCAACCTGTGGTCTGTGTGAGTCCTAATGCCCTAGTAAAAGTGAAGGGGACACTAAACTGTCAGTGGGCGCCGTCTTTCGGATGAGACATTACACCGAGGTCCTGACTCTCTGTGGTCATTAAAAATCCCATGGCACTTCTCGTGAAAGAGCAGGGGTGTAACCCCGGTGTCCTGGCTAAAGTCCCTCAATCGGCCCTTACGATCATGGCCTCCCAATCATCCCCATCCACCGAATTGGCTCCATCACTGTCTCTCCACTCCACCAACAGCTGGTGTGTGGTGAGCGCACTGGCGCCGTTGTCCTGTGGCTGCCGTCGCATCATCCAAGTGGATGCTGCACACTGGTGGTGGTGTGGAGAGACCCCCCCCCTTCATGATTGTGAAGCGCTTTGGGTGTACAGCCATACACAATAAATGCGCTATATAAATACACATTACATTACATGTTATGGCACATTATTCGATTAACGTCAATGCGTCACTGCGCTATCCACATTTCCTCTAGAGCAGGGGTCTCAAACTCGCGGCCCGCGGGCCATTTGCGGCCCTCAGTGCAATATTTTGTGGCCCGCGCCGACCGCTGTACACTGACAGAATCAGCGGAGCGGGGAGAGAGAGAGCTTCCCGCTCCGCTGATTCTATCCGTACACAGCGGTCACTGGCATTCCCCGCCCGCCGTGTAAACAAAGGAGCGGGGATGCCGGTGACGTCACCACGCACCCCGCCCCTTTGTTAGACACTGTGACGGGCGGGAAGAACCAAGGTAAGCTGTTCCCGCCCCTGCCTGCCACTTAGCTACAGCCTGCATCTTACAGAGCTCGAAATTGCGACCATTTTGGTCGCATATGCGCCCGAAAATTAATTTATGCGACCTCATAATATATTTTGGCGCATTAGTGCGACTGCAGATAATGGTTGTAGTGCGACCTGTTTTGATTTTTTGTAAAAACGTGATGAATCGCTCTTCCCTGCCGCTGTCAATCACTCAAGGTATTCCGCTGTCAGATGACAGGGAAGGAGCTTTTATGACCACGGGAAATGCAAACGGCAGAAGAGTAAAAACTTAAAGCACACAGGTTTGCAAACCCCACCTAAAATTGAGGTGCAGATGAGAGCGATCATGACACGTCACGTGGTGAATAATAATCCACCAGCTGAGATCAATCGAGTACGCGCTTCATGGAGAAGGCGCCCGAATCTCCATGCGTTGCATTCACTGCGTTCAGCGCAAATGTCCGCTAAAAGTCAAATCTAATACTGTACATATTATCGCCAAAGAAGCTCGCCTTTACTAAGTTTACACTGAAACTGCGTCTCATAACAAACAGCGGTATTCCGCCGGTGGTCATCGCAAGAATCTTGCGCTGCCTGCTCATAAATTGGGTCATCTCAGACTGAACATTTAAATTGACACAAACTGAAACCAAATCTTTTAAAGAGTGATAGAAGTGAGACTTTACTTTCTTTCTTTTGTCTATTCTTTTTTGAGGTGTATATTATTTTTATTTTTTATTTATTTACTGATGACTGCTTTGCAGCTTTTATCATTGAATTTAATGATTTATTATAATCTTTTGTTTGTTTTGTAGAAGAAATATTATTTATCAAATTGACATGCATATGAAAACAGCAGTACAAAATAAATATTTCTTACTGCAATGCTTCATTTTTGTTTGATGCAAACTATACAATTATTTTTCATAAAGTAACAGACTTTTTATAGCAGATAACCTACATTCATGCACATTCAAGGCAGTATCATAATGAGAAATGTAATTTATTTTTACTATTATTGTCATTTTCATCCTCATTAATATTCTATAATTATTAGACAATCATTTTGGAATTATTGCACACAAATATCAATGTCTTCACAGCATTAGTTAGATAGTTGTTTCTGGTTTTTGTCAGTCCTATTGATGTTGTTTTAAAATACAATAAATCCCTTAAAAAGCAATTTGCAGCGGTGCTCAATCATTTTTGGTGGTTGCTCCTATAAATTTTTTCTGGTGCACCTAAATTTATTTTGGTGCTCCTAAATATTTGAAGTTGGGAGCACCGGTGCTACTAAGTAAAAAAGTTAATTTCGAGCCCTGTCTTATATATATTATAGGTAGATACATACTGGTACAGACTGATGTGACTGGAGTGGGGTGTGGGTGTTTTATTTATACATATATACGCCTTTTTTTTAGGTGAGGGAATGGAAGTTTTGAGTGAGTTCCCCCACTTTTTTCCCTAGGACTTGGCCTTTTTGGGAGCACATATTTGTGTGAGAAGTTATTCTCCACCTTGAACTTCAATAAGTCAAAGTACAGGTCTAGACTTAATGATGATCATCTTCAAGCCATACTGAGGGTCTCAACTGCTTCCGCTCTAAAGCCAAATGTGGTTCAGATTTGTGAGAAGAAGCGCTGTCAAGTCTCTGGCAGTAAGGAGTAGGCAAAAGATGCCATGTTCAGAAGAACTGTTCATAATCTTCACTCAATGTTCTATCAATGTTCAGGACACTTCATGTTCAGAAGAAATAATTAAAACTGTTAATAATGACATTTGAGGACTTTTTTTTGTGAAATCCCTTATGCGGCCCAGCCTCACCCAGACTTTGCCTCCTGCGGCCCCCAGGTAAATTGAGTTTGAGACCCCTGCTCTAGAGTTTCATGTAATTTTGGGCTTTTCATTTTTAATTTGTTGACTCTAATTGCAGTTTGGCACTTTCACTTTCATTTAGGAACATTACATGCATGCCCCCCCCCGTGACAAACGAGATATTGGATGAGATATGAACTGCTGGAAGAGTGTAGTTTTAATTAAATTTGATACAGCACATCGTATGGGGAAAAAACCTTCGCGTTTTGCGTTGCAGGTGTCTGTGGTCCTTAACTGACTTGGTAGATGTAGAGAATAGTGTCAAACAGTCAAGCGTGTATAGACTATTCTGTGGCAAAATGTGGCGAAAGTCGTTTGAGGCGTTTATATGTCTGTACTGTACTATGTAATAATGCGATTAAAATTGGCATACTCCACATGTCTTAAACCCATTTCTGTTTAGTTCAATTATGACCTTAATCCGATTAAATTGAGAAAAAAAAATCACTGTTTACATGTTACTTTTAATGAGAGTATTGTCTTAATCTGATTAAAATCAGATTATTGGTGTCTATGTAAACATACTCAATATTACAAACCTGAATGAAGTGAACAAAAAAAAGTGTGAATCATGGAACTGATTGACTAAAGCTGGCAGTAGTCAGTTCATTGGTAATATTCCCATTTCTTAAAGTTCTCGTGAAGTACTTTTAATGTACATTTTTTGTCTCGATGTTTGACAATCTCAACTAAAAATGAAGAGAGGGTGGGACAGAGTTGCTCCTCTCCTTTTACAAAAACAGCTAATTATAGCGTTTAGTTTTTAATCGCAGCTCTGCCGGTGGGAGTGGTTGAGCTCAAGCGCATCGCATGAAAGCAAATGAGAAGCGTTTGAAAGGGGGAGGGGCATGTAAGATAATAGAGAGAATTTGATTGGTCATTATTTGATAAAAAATAACTGAAGTATGAGCTGACTTGGAAAAAAAATTGTTGATCCATTTAGAAGGTAGTGACAAACTACAAGCTTTCGATGTTTACATCAGGTTTATATCTTCTAAACGTTGTTTTGTAGCACATTTGCTTATAGATATTCTTAAAACTAACAGACTGAAACTAACATAAAAAATGTTTTATTTTAATTTCATGGGATATTTAATGACTATCATCTATATTTTCGTATGCATGCATGTAAATGAAAAAAAGAATTATAAACTCAAAAACTGAAATATATTCTGCATACAACTCTCAATATGTTCCAATTGGCAGACATTTCATAAACTGTATGAGCCCAGTAAATTGCTCTTCTACAGTAAGCAACCTCAACTTTTGTTTTGCTTTTTTTATCTTATTTTTATTCTTTATAAAGTCATTTGGTTTATTTTCTGGCTCATTAAAATCTGATGTGGCGCAGTAGGTAGTGCTGTCGCCTCACAGCAAGAAGGTCACTGGTTCGAACCTCGGCTCAGCTGGCGTTTGTGTGTGGAGTTTGCATGTTCTCCCTGCCTTTGCGTGGGTTTCCTCCGGGTGCTCCGGTTTCCCCCACAGTCCAAAGACATGTGGTACAGGTGAATTGGGTAGGCTAAATTGTCCGTAGTGTGTGTGTGTGTGTGTGGATGTTTCCCAGAGATGGGTTGCGGCTGGAAGGGCATCCGCTGCGTAAAAACTTGCTGGATAAGTTGGCGGTTCATTCCGCTGTGGCGACCCCAGATTAATAAAGGGACTAAGCCGACAAGAATATGAACAAATAAAATCTGATGTACCTGGTCCCTCTTCTTGATCTCCTCCACCTGCCGCAGCTGTTCTGAGGACAGCACACTCTCAATGCGCTGCATGTCTTGCATCAGCAGCCGCTGCGACTCCAGGAACTGATCGTTGGCACGCTGCCAAGTGTGTTTCAGCTGATTGTGCTGCTGCCGCTCCAATTCCAGCAGGTGAACCACTGGAAGATAAATCACATTTCAAACTGAAGGCTAATCAGCTAACCAGCGTTTAAAGACCTCTGGTCTGACAGAACTCTCTAGTAAAGCCTTATTCACCAGTGAAAATTACTTTGTGTAAATTTACACACTGATGTTAATGACATCTGATCATAACATGGCATTAGAAATATGACAATAAGCAGGACAAACACATATGCATGTATAACTTTACACTACAAATTTTGTGGCAGTTAACAACATATGACCCATGTTAGAGAGCATTTACACGGCATGCATTAAAGGTGCTATAAGTTTTTGCAGATATGTAAGAAACATGCTGAGTGAACATTCTTGTTTATCTAAAAAGCAATGCTGAAGTCAGATATTCTGCTTTGAAAATGTGCATTCCTTGCCGGAACGTCTGTCTTTGTTTTGGTTCTTTTATCCCACCCAATGGCAGTTTAGCCAATTATATTTCAAAGCATGCGTCCATGACCGAAATGTGACCTCCGGTGGACAGTAAGAGCCTCGAAAATGAGACGCAGATTCAGAGTTGGGATGAGGTTATTAATTAGCAAATAATATAACTATTACGAACGTACACATTAGATGAGCAGGTTACATTGTAACACACACACACACACACACACACACACACACACACACACACACACACACACACACACACACACACACACACACACACACACACACACACACACACACACACACACACACACACACACACACACACACACACACACACACACACACGGTAAATTACATAACATACATATTTAATTATATAATTTAATCTGACATTCAATAGTAATCAGTCAAGTTTACAATAACAAAATAAAAAATACAAAACACATCTAAAAATAAGAAACAAACACATTTACATATATGCTCTAAATCTCTGATTAAACCCTCAGGTCACAAGAGCTTTAAAAACACAAGCCTTGCCCTGCTTTCTAAAAATAATACACTGCGTGAGGAGGTTTCCATGAAATGACCAATCACCCAAAATAAGGAGAAAGTATCGTTTTACAAAAACAAATACACATTTTTCTATGAAAGCAACTTTTTGGAAATGTTTAGATAAAGATTTAGGCTACACACCCTCGTGGAGTTCTTTCCGAAGTTTCTCTGCATCCTCTTGAAGGACAGATTTTTGGGTGTTAAGGACCGCAACATACATCTCCAAATCTGTGCGGCAAGACTTCTCAGCCTCCAGGACATGATTGAGCTCTTTCACCTTTAAATAAACCAAGCACATGTGTAAAAGTTAATTTTCCACAATCTCACGAATTCTTATGAAGAGTTCTTTACTAAATAAATAAATAAAAAGGTCAATTCAATGGTTCAATTGTCTACAGAACGAGCCACTGTTATGCATCGATTTGCCTAATTAACCTAACTTGCATAGTTAACTTAGTTAAATTTCCTACAGTAGTTAAGCTTTTAAATTGCACTTTAAAGGTGCTGTTTGTAAGCTTTTGATTCTTGTAAAGCATAAAAATACCAAAATATGTTTGCATATGACTTGCACATTACATTTTTAATCTAATAAACCGTAACAATTGTGGCTGTATGTTATATGATGGGATATTTCCGGTTCAAACACTTAAAAATACAGAGAATAGTTTTATTTTAAAAACATTTATTAAACATCCAAAAGGTGCACCATACTAATAAAATAAAAACATTTAACTGTAACTAATGCAAGCAGAAATGTAACTGTGATAAAAAATAGGGTAAAACCTGATAAGGTATTATAGCCTGCTGTACTATTCACTTTTCAAATAAATCTCACTATCAATATTATTTTATCATGGAAACTAAAACAAAGTGAACTATAGTGTCTGCTGTCTTCAAGATTGATGATGAGATTGTGGAGGACATTTTCTCTGTCACTCTCTTCATTTTGAGGAGAAGCTGTTCCACAGGGCCCCTGAACACACATATTGACATGTACTGTTTTAAACAGTACTATAATAAAGTACTTTAATTACTCTGCTGTGGTAATGCTATATATGCTATGGTAACACAATAAGTGTAATATAAACAAATTACACAGTGCTGTAGATGTTTTTTTTACAATATTGGGTGTATTATTCTACAATTCACCACACTTTACTGCTGTTAAACTACACTGTATTTCATTTTATCAGTTCACTATTCTTAATACTACAGTATGCTAAAGCATCTCTGGAGAGCAAAAGCACGAAAGGGGGAGAAAACACAAGACACAAAAATGCATAGTCTGACGAAGCGAGAGCAGATTTTTCGCAAGTGAGCAGACAGTGTTTTGAGAACTCGCAGGCAGTTTTGTCCACGAACAGAAGAAAACCGTATTGAAATATCGTATTGAAAGTGCTCCCCACTTGTAATACTGCGCATAAGACATTTGTCAGTGAAATAACGGCATACTCCGCCAGCCGAAATCATGTGGCGCATACCCACAGTGAACCTCCGCATCAAACACAGCGATAACGTCACATTCAATGCACACACTAAGTTAATAACAGAAAGCTGATTGGCTATAGCAAGTTGACCTTTGTAGTTGTAATACCGCAAATTACAATTGGACTAGTGAAATAAAGTACTACAACACCACGAAAACCTAGCAACAGCAACAACAACAACAACAACAAAAAAGACTTTAAATGAGCATTAGATGTAGCATTACATGGACATCGGAAAAAAAAGACCTGTGCAAAAATAATAGTATGTCCAAGAACAGCGAATTTTTGAGACTTTAAGGCCTTAAATTTCGATTTAAAAATTTTAGACTTCTTAAGACCCCCGCGGAAAACCTGTTAAATGTAGATGCTGAATCACTGATATGTGTTGGTTTGCACTGAGTCACCGTTTTAAAGTTCAGTTTCAAACGGTTTATTTTATTTTCAAGATCTGAGGTGAACTATCTGCTGTTGCTTTCAGCTGAATGGCAAAATGGCATTTTTAAAACTCACATTATTAGCATTTAACACTGAATAAAGCACATGAGGTGTACCTGAGGTGATCATTGTCAGTTTTCTGTTGTTCAGCTGCAAGAAATAAAAGCCGTTTCTGATATATTAATTTCAGGTGTTGGTTGGAACAAAAGCTCCTTTTAATATGGAGAATATTCCTTCGATCGCGTGCCGTTGCTTTTATTTAGAACATGACTTAAATCAGCCTTTAGGCTCGATCGTCCGATCAGCTCCTGTTGGTTGTCAATCTGGCAGGAATGCGTTTGTTTTGATTCAGGAATGTAATACTTAGTTCAACCACTGGGTGTCAAACTTACATACTGCACCTTTTAGCAGAATCTTAGTATCTTGAAAAATATAGAGTAAAATGTTATCGGCTGTCATCATGGCAACGACAAAATAAAACAATTACTAGAAATTAGTTATTAAACTGTTGTTTAGAAATGTGTTAAACAGAAATTGAGGAAAAAATATACAGGGGGCTAGTAATTCAGGAGGGCTAATAACTTTACTTCAACTGTAAAAATAATGTATTCAGACCAGTGTTTTTCATGCAATAAATGTATAACATATTGGATGTTTTGAATTTGAATACATTTAAAAACAGAATGTGAAACACTTTTTTTACAGCTCTTCTTGTTGTACTGAACAGATTTTTTTTTTTATTCCATTGCCCCAGGTGCAAATTTGCTTAATCAGGTGGTCACGATACGCATATAAAAAGAATGAAATGATACATAAATGTGTCACGTCTAATAATAAACATGAACAAAACAGTCTGGCTCTCAGTTCCACTTTTTGATGCACATCTAACCTTGGCAGCCTCCAGTTCCTTAACTCGATCTTCTGAGCTTGACAGTTTGGCTTTCAGCGCTGCGATCTCACTCTCCATCGGCATCACCACCGAACGGAGCTTCTCTGCGTCCTCTTGAGCCTAGATTAACACAAACCATCAAACGAATCAGAGGGGAGAAAAAGAAAAACTAATCCGCTCTGCATAATCACTTTCACACTTCAAAGTAGCAACATTATAAGACGATTGGCAGTGCAATGAGTAAGCCATGTTTCTTGTTTCCCATGTTGTTTGTATTCTTACACAATATGTGAGGTATTTACTGAGCATTTAGGACTTACTGTATATCCACTGTACCATTCATACCCATTTTCATATTTAAATTTTTGTTTTTCTTAATTTTTTTTTACTGCTGGTCATATTCATTATACTTCTTACCCACGTTTATTTCTGAAAGAGATTGTAAACCGTATTCACTGAGCATTTAGGACTTACAGTATCTACTGCATCATTCATGAACCTTTTACATATTTAAAATGTATGTTTTTCTTAATTATTATTTTTTTGCTGCTGGTCTTTTTCATTATACTTCTTACCCACGTTTATTTCTGAAGGAGATTGTAAACCCTATAAAAAACGGTAACTGCATGAACACCATAAAATCACATAATAGTATGATAGTGATGTAAACGCTGTATGAGACATCTCTTTGTTTTTATCATTTTTTTTTAATTATACGTTTTTTTTTATGTATTTTATATTTATTTATTTTTATTTGATTTATTTCTGTATTTAAAATATTAATAGTTGTGTGTGTGAATGTTAAAATTGTTGAAAAAAAAGTCTAGCAGGCTTTAAAATAATAATAATAATAATAATAAATAAAAATAAATAAATAAATAAAAATTAACCCTTATTTTTTTAGTACCTTACTATAATCAAGGTTGACCAAAGTGCTTTACACCAGTATGAACAAATTATACAACACAACAAAAAAGCAAACAATGCAAAAACATAACAATGACAAGATTACCGTGTCATGAACAGTGAGGACCAAGCAACATCTCCAAGTTCTTTGAAAACCAGACCAAAAAGTGATGTGCACTTCTGTGTAAAGTGTATTGTTTTTTTTTTTTAAAGAATTCATAGTTTGACACAGAATAGGATGATTTTGTAGGGAAGCACAAAATCTGCATAAAATATCCAAATTATCCCAAAATACACAATTAAAAAATAAATAAATAAATGAATAAAAAAAAGGAAAGAAACAGCACTTTATGGTTTTCTGTGGAGTCTAAGGGTGCTTTCACACCTAGACTTTTGTTTCAGAGCCTGTCTCGTTTGCCCAGTTAGCGCGGTTCATTTGGCATATGTGAAACCAACAATCGCACGTGGATCAGTGCCAAATTAATTGGTCCGAGATTGCCTGAATGAGGTGGTCTCGGCTGGATTGAAAGGAACTCTGGAGTGGATCG